TTCTCAAAGTAGTCCACTTTATGAGAAAATGAGCCGAGGTGGCGCAGCAGCTAGAGTGCAGTACTGCAGGCCACTTTAGCTGACTGTGTTCAGCAGGTCAGCGGTTCAAATCTCACCGGCTCAAGGTTGACTCAGCCTTCCATCCTTTCGGGGTAGGTAAAATGAGGACCCAGATTGTTGGGGGCAATGTAAATATATATATACATTGCTTACTGGTGTACACCGCTTAGAGAGTGCTTGCACTTAAAGCGGTATATAAGTCTCATAAATTAAATAAACAAACAAACAAATAAATAAATAAATAAAATGTGCTGATCTGGATTGGAATGCAGATTTGATATAGGAGAGGCCCTATTTGAAAATACTATGGTTATCATCTGATTCATACACTGATTTGTCTTAGGGAGAAGGAGGCTCATAGACATTAAATGTATATATCCATTTCTGAAACAAAGAAATCAGACAGCTGCAAGTTAGAAGACTGATTGCTTGGCAGTTTCCAGAATTAAAATGGAGAGGAGGAAAAGAGTTAATTGCTGATCTTCACCAGCTGTTATGAAGATCTGCATACTCAGCATTTGTGGCTCTGACTGAATACTTCAAATTGCTTTCACACACTTCCCCTCTTCTCTGTGTTTAGAATTTCAGAGCCTTTAGTATTCACAGATGAGCTTGCTAACAACAAACAGAACCATTTGCTGTAACAAGCCATGGAACTTTAGCAGTAGAGCATGAATCCTAGACGTTATATTTTTGTCTTCAAAAACAAATGATTTACACACATGCCTCTTAGCATCTGTCTCCTATCTGACTGATCTTCAGATTCCAAGCTGCTTTGACCCTGTTCCACATGAGCGCTCACTCTTGGGGACTAAATTAGATGAAGAGCCACAACTGTTGAATTGCCCTTTGTTTCCCTTTCTATAGCCAGCGTGTTATCTGAGGAGTATAAAAAGTTCAATTATTTGTAGATCCTGGTTCATGAGTATTAGTAGTGAATTCCCCTAAGCAGGAAGCTAGTCCATTCTAGCTAGATGCACCTGAAACAATTTCCACATAGAAATGAGTAAGCATGGAGTTTCATGATGCTGTTGATCTCTTTATCTGTAGCCTGACCAAAAAATGGCACCTAGGATGCTTATTGAGGTGCAAGTTATGCAGCCGCTGCTTCCTGCCATTCATTGTCATTGATCTTTTTTCTGTCTCTCTTTTAGCTAGGGTCACTCATTGATACAAGTGGAAACACATCTGAATCTATTTTGTTGATGCCAGGGGAGTGCTAATGGAATTAATAAATTTTAATTGGTTCACTGACATGATTGACAGTAGTTTATTGCTGAGTTACTTGATAGTTTAAACATGGATAATTATCCACTTTTCAGATCAGGAAAGAATCTGCATTGCATAAGAATAGAAACTTTGGTTTTCATTTATAACCTAAGAAAGCTGGCCTTTTGTGAGCTGTTGAAAATGTGGTTCTTCCATCAGGCCTTGGGTCAGGATATTTCTTTCTCCTTTCCCTAGAGCAGGGGTGTCAAACTCACAACATCACGTGACATGTCATGATGTGATGTATCACAACTTTTTTTCCATTGCTGGCAATGGGGTGGACAAGATTTTGGCATGATGCATCTGGCCTATGGGCTGGCAGTTTGACACCCCTGCCCTAGAGAGATTGGAGAGGAAGGGATTACAAGAGAGTAAGCAGGCATACAGTGGGAAATTTGCATAGTGCACTTGGCTGCAAACACCACTGCATTACTTTCAATATGTATTCCCTATTGTGTGTCTATTTACTCTCTTGTAATCCCTTCTCCAATTTCTCTGCTCAGCAAAGAAAAAAAAACAGGTCAGGTACTGGAAAATGTGTGCTGATTATAACTGCAATTATGTGACTGAAGGATGCTGTGAAAGTTGTAAATGAGGGCATCTATACTACTAAATTCTCATCACCTTCAGCAATTGTACAACGGTCACTAAACAAGGCAGTCAGTAAGCAAGAATTATCTGTACTGTATGATCACTGAGTTTAGAGTCCTGTTTATTTACTACCTTGTTTTACCTTTTGAAAGCTTTATTTCTGTTAGCCCTAGAGTTAGAATCATTCTTCTGCTACATCATACAAACAAGAGGGCTCTCTAAATTTTTCAACTAGCAAAATACAAGCCAGAGTTGTCATTCTTCTGCTCTCCAGATTTTTCAGTGATTTCTCTTCTTTTTCTTAGACATCTTTAAATGATTGAAGCCTATGTAAGTGTTTCAGAGTGCAACAAATGCATCCCCCTAATTTTTAAATTTTAAATCTCATTTGTTTTGCATTCTGATTTTGGTATTGACGTGTACAATAATACTTGGCCAAAATTTCTCCCCAAACACAAAATTTTTCGTGTCTTGTACACAGTGAAGTTCTAAAGTAAGTTTTTTGTAAAATAAATAGCACTATAATGAATACATACTATTTGATCACATCAGACAGCTTCAAACTTGCATTTTCCAGATGAGCATCCCAGTAAGTATTCAGTTTGTATATGTAATGGAACATAAACACATTTGATTTATTTGTAAGCATTGTGTATGTGTGTGTATTCATATATGTATATGTCCATGGAGGTAAGTACTAAATTAAAATTAGAAGTACACATTTGTCAATCTACATTAGATTCCAACTAATTTAGGATATCAGATTTCTTTTACTTTTTTCTGGAACACTCTGCTGTTGAGTAAAAGCAATTCTGTCTCTTCTTTCCTTTTGCAAACTTCTTGCAAAAGAGAGAAACGCAATTGTCTTTTGCTGTGTAGGTTTATCTGAATAAGCCATTGAAGTCTCTTTGTATATGTCAGATGTGAGTAATGGAGATATTAATGTGTAAATGTTTAATCTAACAAGCATAAGAAAATGATCCAACCCAGCTCGGATGCCTTAGCCTTATAACCCTAGCTGTGTAAAGGAGCCTCTTGCTGAGTATGGCATTTGTTAATATTGGTGCCCTGGTGACCATAAGCATTTTACTTATTGTACATTGTTAAGTTTTATTGTTAAAATAAAACTGTTCTTTGTGCAACAAATTGTTCCATTTTAAATGTGTAAATTTGAATGGAATGTTTGAGTGTCATGTTATACCAATATATTGTACATCTCCTAGGAAATTAATGTGCATACCCTGTATTGCAGAATGTTATCCCTGTAGTATCCTTCTAGATTGTTGTCAGGTTTGGGAGTTGGTTGCTGGGTGTGAGGTGAGTTTGGGTGTACTGTGTTCTCCTTTCTCAATAAATAGTGTAATCAGTGAGGGGCCAAGGACCCAGATTCTTCCCCTTTTTTGTTTTAACATTTACCGTAAATGCCGGCGTATAAGACGACTTCCGCGAGCGCTGAAATCGGCGCCAAAGACGGGGGTCGTCTTGTACGCCGAGTCGTCTTATACGCCGGAAATACTGGTAGTTTCTGGCGTATAAGACGACGTTCTAGGAATGCGGCCCGGCTATAAAGACAGGGGTCGTCTTATACGCCGGGTCGCCTAATACGGCGGCATATACGGTACATGAAACTGTTGGGTGGTTCACTGGTTTGTAATTCAGTATTATCAATATGCAAATCATACCCAGTTGCACCTCTATATCCCAGGCTGGCTAATTGATGCCATCATACCCTGGAAAGCTTTGTGGGCCTGGATGGGAAGGAACAGACTTAGATTCAATCTTGCCAAGCCTGAGTTGCTATGGGTTTTTAGGCCCCTTGCATCTGATGGGGTTGCACTTCCCAGTCTGGAGATCCTTCAGACTCGAAGAGCAGTGGCACCTATGGCAAATGGGTAATTTGTATATCTTCATTTGGAGTTATAGTTGTAGTCATTCTTAGATCAGGAAGCCTTCTAAATAATCGCACATGCCCTTCATTGTTGGACAATAACAATGCTGTATGTGGATCTGTCCTTGAAGATCTCTCAGACACTACTGCTGGCCCAGAACATAGTAGTGGAGGCAGTGTTGGACATGTCCCATCATGCCATTTGATAACATTGCTCCGCGAGCCACAGTAATTGCCAGTAAGCTTCCACGTACAATTTAAGATGGTATAGTACAGGGGTATACTATAGTACCATGGTATAGTACAGGGGTAGGCAACCTTGGCTTTTTTATGACTTGTGAATTTCAAGTCCCAGAATTCCTGAGTCAGCATGGCTGGAATTCTGGGTATTGAAGAACACAAGTCATAAAAGAGCCTATCCCTGGTATAGGATCAGGTTATTTGTCAGATAATCTATCTTCCATAGTTTCTGCCTGTCCAATAAGGTGAGATTTAGTTAGTTAAACAATGTCATCTATCCCTGTTGAGACACCTTCCCTCTAGAATAATATCCCTAGTGTTCCCACTTTGACAAAATTTCAGGAGTCTTTAAGAACCTGGCTATACACCTAGACCTTGGAGTAGGGTGTTTTTAGAACCCTGATTGATTGCCTGATATGTGCTTTATCCAGATATTAGATTCTTTTCATTTGTTTTTATTTTAAGTGTAAGCCTCCAAGAGTTGTTCTGAACCCGAGCAGCTTCTAAATCAGTGGTTCTCAACCTTTTTAATGCCGCGACCCCCAAGCAGTCGTAAGTCGAGGACTACTCAACCGGTCATAAGTCGAGGACTACTCAACTGGTGCAGCACCATTTGCAGAATGGGACTTTTTGGCGGGCTCAGCAGGGCAGAGACAGCCTTGACAATTCCTATTGGCTTTTGAAAGCCAATAGAATTAGACTCTATTAAAGAGAGTCTATTCTATTGGCTTTCAAAAACCAATAGAATAAAAGGGAGTAGCACAGCTAAGGAAAAGGGGAAAAAAATGGCGGACTGCATTGTTTGGAGACCCCCGTGAAATGGTCGTTCGACCCCAAATGGGGTCCTGACCCACAGGTTGAGAACCACTGTTCTAAATAAACAAATAAAGCTTTGTATTAAGTTAATTATTTAGTTAATCAGATGGTAACATGTTTCTTTTGCTCTTTTCAGCTGTTGGGGCTCAAGCAAAGATATCCTTCACTAAAGAGCCATATTCTCAGGATGCCTTGCATGGCCGTAGTGCCATTTTGCGCTGTGAAGTGAAAGACCCTAGAGACATTGAATTTGAGTGGTTACAGAATGGGGAATCTATTCAGGACACAGAACGGCGTTTCAAGGAAGGGAGCAACCTTCAATTTGCATCTATTGATCGTCAGCAAGATGGCGGGAACTTCCAATGTGTTGCCAGGAATGTAGTTACTGGAGAAGAAGCTCGGACAACAAATGCATCCTTCAACATAAAATGTGAGCATCATCTTTGTTACTAACATATTCTGATGCTCCGTTCACCTGTCAAAATGGAGAGAAAAGGGAAGATATACCACAAATATGTTCTTTAAATAAGCCAACTTGACTTCTGCTGCAAATGCACTCATGCATCAGGAAGCATTGGTTAATCATAACTCTGTAGTATCTGCATATGAAAAATATTGGTTTGGATGGACAGCTCAAATCCTTTTGTGGTAAAACTTGAAAGGAGCATTGTTCATTAAGAATATAGTCTATTTACCATTTCATAGTCAATGTCTACTCAGTGCTAATGCAGTTAATGAAAACAATGCTAGTAATAAAGTACAAATATAAGGTTTGATACATGTCAGATGTTACTAAACTATATGGCTTAAATTAATGGCACTATTTGCATGACTGTAATTAATATATAATTCAAAGAAACAAAAGGATGGAACCCATAAAGTAAAAGCAGAAATTGCATGAAAATATATAAAATATTCATGGACAGAACAACTCAAAGAAATGTATTATTTATTTTATTTGTTAGATTTTTATTCCACTTTCATTACTTTACAGATAACTCAAGGTGGCAAACATACTGTACATAATACCCCTTCTTCCTTCTATTTTCCTCAAATATCAGCCCTCTGAGGTGGGCTGGGCTGAGAGAGAGTAACTGGCTGGAAGTCAGCCAGCCAGCCAGCTTTCATGCCTCAGTCTCTGGGTTTCTAGGCCAGTACCTTAATTGCCACACCAAACTGTCTCAGATCTGTTTTCTTCTACTTATGTTGGAACTGCATTTTCTCTCAAACTAGTTCTAATGTTGACTAATAATAGTGTAACATTTGTGTAAGAAGAAGGGAATTCCCATTTTTTGGCCTGGAATCCTTTTTTTCTGTGGGTTGTGCCAAAAAGTGTTTTCTTTATTGTGCACTGCCAATTATAACTGTGTAACTAGTTGCAAACCAACATACAAAATGTTCTGAATATTATGATACATATTCAGATATGTGCCTTAAATTAGTTTGGAGCTGAAGTTCTTTCATGTATATTATAGATCCACTTAAGGCTTTTACATAATATTCATTATTACATTACCAGATTAAATTCAAAAACATTTTTTAACTTGCAGCTAGCAAAAGAAAAATTGGAGAAACTGTTGTTCCTTCTCGAGTCAGTAAAAGCTGTTATAAAATAATGTATCCTCTGTTTTGATCTGGTCCAGAATTTGCTCAGAAGATGCATATTAAAGTAACCTTGTGGAGGATTGAATTTTTTTTAATTCAGTCAGTGTCTGGATGCTGCCTGACAAGTTTTAGCTACTGAAGGAATGTGTGCTATAGATAAAATATATAAATGTCATGATGTCCAACTGCAGAACTTTCTCAATAGCAGGCAATTATTTAGAATACTGTTGCACCTTTTAGATTCTAAGATAATGTTGTGTATGGCTTTATTTTCAATAATGCAGATGACCTGAAAACCAAGATCCTAACTTGGGCTGAGTCAGCTCTTTGAGTCAGATCACTGTTACATCTACTGTTAATTCCATTCTTTGTTTAGGATGAGCCAAACTAAAAAAGAATCATGGGAGATTTTCAAAGAGCCAGACATAAGCAAATGAGTCAGTTCTGCATCTTGGTTGTCAGTTGGGTTTAGTACTCCCAGGTGTAAATCCTCTATCTGGTATAGTTAATCTTTGTCTTTCTCTACTCTTTTCTTCCCAGCCCCTTAATTCTTAATTCTTTTGAATCGTAAGGAATCTAACAACCTATTTAATGGTTAGCTGTGTTTTTGATTGGTCATCCCATTGATTATATATTAGCTTCCACCTGTTATCTCTCTTTCATTTTTGTAACAGGAGAAAATTAGCCATGGGGATGTTCTAGGACTCAGGTGATTATCACCCCAAAAGAGGAACAATGACAACTGCCAAATATATTTATAAATATAGGCATTATGAACAGATCCTAAAACTAATTCCATTACTCACTATATTAACCATATAGTATATGGTTAATTCCTTTTCTGTTATGATGGTTTTCTGTTTGCAAATGGTAAACAGGAAAGATTGCATTTTATCTGTTTCCTTCTCTGTAAGGATTTCTTTAATATAAATACCTTTTTATGATTCCAAGTAAATGTATGATTTATGATTCATAAATTTATGATTCCAAGTATGTAAGCAAGAGTGATACAAGTTACAGCAAAACAAATAATTCAATTAATTTTGCTTTTTCAGTGTCAGGCATGTGCAGTCATGCCAAGGTGAAAACAATTTTGTACTTCCAGGGTGACTGATGATTTCCAAAGTATACAAAAGGGCTGCGGTCTCAGATTGACTAATTTTTACTGTATTTTTAAAAGGGATTGAAACAGGAAAAGTTATCTTGAAGAATCCTGTCAGAGTGGAGGATATACAAAGTTCTTCTCCAGTAATGTTGCATTGTCATATCGATGGACACCCACGGTTAGTCCCTATTTTGAAGAATTCATGCTTATTTTGGGTAACTTTTCCTCCATTCATTAGTGTAACTTGTCTCTTCTAATAAAATCTTAAGTGAATTTGAGTTGCTTATGCTCTGGTTACCTCCCACATCTCCTGCAACACACTTGATGGGGCTACCCTTGAAGACTATTCAGAAGCTACAACTGGTACACAATACTGTGGCATGAACAGTTTTGAAGGCCTTGCGGATGGGCACATGTAACACCTCTGCTATGGTGCCAGTCTGCTTCCTGATCCAATTCAAGATATTGGTTATGACTTTAAAGCCCATTATGGCATGGATCCAGCTATCTGAGGAACAGACTCACCCAATGGGATTGTCCCCTCTCGTTCACTCCAGCAGAAGAGGACTACTTTGGTTTATGTCTGCCAAAGAACTTTGATTGGCGGGATCCAGAGAAAGATGCTTTTCTGCTGTACCCCTCCCCCCAAAATAGTCTCTTGTCAGAGATGAGCTCAGCCTCCACCCTCCTGGTCTGCAGGAAGAACCTTAAAACTTGACTCTGCAGACTAGCCTGGTGCCCCAGTAGCAATGCTATGGGTGGCTAAAGAGAAGATCCCCATTCCCATGTCACCTATTTTCTTGGTTTTTAATCTTTAATATTTCATCATTTTAACTTTTTATATTTTTATCTGGTTAGCATTTTATTAGCTGCTCACATGCTGCAACAGTAAAATGGGCTGCATATAAATTTATTTATTTAATTAAGTAATTACATGCTTAGAAGAGTTGATTAGCACAATCCTGAACATGAAAAAGGAGGCAGTAGCACTGCTGATGTCTGGATGCTCTTTGTTAATGTGAAGATGATACAGTTTGAGAATACATAAGTTATTCTTTAACACAATGTTTTCTAAAAGTTTTGTTCTAATACTATGAATTTTCATTAAAATACCCACATCCACATCACAGATTTTGGTACAAAGAGGTTGTGTATTTATTAGTTGTTTGCTAAATAATTGCTTTTTTCATGATTCTGAGCTTTTAAACTATGTTTCATAGCCCAACAAGTCAGTGGTTCCGAGATGGTATCCAAATTGTAGATGATCACACAAATTACTCAGTCAATAATAAGGAGCGGACATTGACCTTCAAGAGTGCCAGCCCAGATGATAATGGCATTTATTACTGTTGTGCTCGGAATGCTGTGGGCACTGTATGCAGCAGAAACAACTTCACCCTCAGTATTATAGGTAATTGTCATTTGTGCTCTTACAAATGTCTAATCTTGAGAAAGTCTCAAGTGTTTTTGTGCTGAATATGGTTCATGTTGGCAATCTGTTGATTCAAGCGGGTTCTGCCTGTTTTATTTGGGGTTATTCTGGTCAGTTTAGTCTCTCTTCTATTACTCCTCAGCCCTTTTTTGGCTACAAGAAAGGCTGGAATTCCAACTTGTACAGCCCAATTTTTCTTGTTTTTAAATGTATTGGTCAACTGGCTGATTTAGAAAGCTTGATACCACAAAACTGATCAGTTTCTTTCTGGATTAATCATGTAGTTAAAACTAATTGAAAGAACCCTTGTAATTCTGTAGCCTCTGTGGTTGGGAATTCCCTTCCCAATGGCTGCTATTAGCGGGGAAGCCTTATTGTGTATTAAAGCTGTGTAGACAATGGCATAAACACAAATCTGTTGCTGTTGCATGGTAAGGGCATGCTGTGGGAGCAAAAAGATTAAGAGTGGCTTGGTTTTTTGCTGGCTCTGGTGTGGGAGTGGGAACATGGCAAAATAGCCATGTAAATTTTCTTTCCATTGGAAGGGAAAATGTTGATTTGAAAGAGAGAATCCAGATGATGAATTGATTTATTTTATTCATTTTCCCTGTCAAAGATGAAAGTTTCCCTCACCCAGTGATTGTTCCCGAGAACCAAATTGTCAATAAAAATGAGGAGGCTATGTTCCATTGCAAGTTCCAGGCTGTGCCACCACCCACCCAAGAATGGCTATTTGAGGATGACTCCCCAATTCAAAATCGGAGCAGGTAAGTAGCTCATTTAAAAGACTATGGGGATAGAAGATCAAAGGGCAGGTATATTGTCCTGAAATAAAAATGAATTGTTATTATTGTTTGGTACTGATCAATGATCTGTCATGCTGCTCTTCGTTACTATGGGCAAGGCTTTCAGGATTGGCTCAACAGTGGAGCTTTTCAATCACATTACATTTGGCGAAGATGAATCTGCTGGTGGCCAGAGTGATTTCAATTCTTAAAAATTACTCAGCATTGCCTATTTATCTCTTTATCACCAGTCAGTTGTCTATAGCAGTAAATACTCTGGTGAAGGTTGTCAGAATAGTGAATAGTACTACTTTATGGAGGCATTCATCGTTGCTGTAAGTATCTTTTCCTTGTATTAGCTCCATACATTTTTCTCCCTGTTCTTTCAAAGGACCATCATATTTTCCAATGGCTCTTTACTAGTAACTCAGGTGAAACCACGCAGTGTTGGAGTCTATAAATGTGTTGGCCGTGGACAGAAAGGAAAACCTGTAATCCTGGAGGCAACCCTACAACTAGCGGGTATGAGCTTGTATCTCACAGAGATTTTGTAGAGTTTGATATGTTTTGGGCTGAAGGTTCTTAATTTTACCATAATTTCAGGGTGGAAAGAGTTAGCTACCCAGAAATGTGAGTATCACAAAAATGATACATTGTTGAATATTGTCATATTCAGATATGTACTTAAGGCTTATCTTAACACATTTTGCCCAAATCAGGTATCAACATTACTGGATTCTAAGATGTACATTCTGTTTTTTCCCAGAAATTGAAGATTTTTCTCAAGCATTTGACCCCAAAATTGTCATAGCCAATAAAGAACAACGTGTAACCTGTGTGGCTCCTCGTGGGATCCCTGAACCTCATATCTGGTGGGAGAGAAACAATGTCCGTATCCCCATTACTGGGAGAGTTCACCAAGAAGCAGGGGACCTTGTCTTCACTACTATTGTAGAAAAGGATACCGGAATATATACTTGCCATGCAGTGAACAAGGCTGGAGAAAAAAAACAAGATCTTTCCATTACAGTAGCAAGTAAGCTGGTTCCATTATGAATATATTAAGACAACAGAAGATGCAGTGAATTTTCAAGATTCTTTGAGATGGGTTGCTAATTAAAGAGAAGAAAATTTCACTCTAAAAGATTTGAAGAGAACTTGGTAATCAGGGGTGACATGGCTTGGTTCTCAAAGCTAAATGAACCTGGTGCTGCAACTTAGATTTATGGTCTTTATCATTCTGTCAATTTGGCTTTGGACTTTTTTCAAGAAACAAATGAAAGGATCTCTTCAGCAGGCCTGTATAGGATGGCATATGATGCATACCAGAATCTTCTGTTATTAAGTCAATTCTGATTAGTAACCATCTTTTTTTCCCCCTGCTATCTCTTTCCAGCAAAGCCAGAATGGGTGGAAAAACCCAAGGACAGTCAGCTAGAGGAGAGTAAACCAGGATACCTTCATTGTGTCAGTAAAGCCTCTCTGAAGCCCACTGTCAACTGGTTTCGTAATAGCATCCCTATTTCAGAGGTAAATTATCAAAGGATCTTTTACTATCTGGTGGAAAAAGTTGCCTAATCATTTTTCTGCTTAATCTTTGTTTCTTTTTGTTATAGTTCAAGGCATGTCAGGCTTCCTGCTCTACTAACATAATTCTCTTAGATGCTTCCATTATACTGAGAGTGTGACTTTTCTTTCTATACTGTATGTTAAATTCTCTTGATTTAACATTATATTTCTCTATTTTGACATTGAGCGATGCTTTTCTCTAAATCATAAGGAACCCTGGTGGCCCAGTAGTTAGAAGGCAGTATTGCAGACTAAGTCTGCCCACAACCTGGAATTTGATCCTGGTGGGTTCAAAGTTGACTCAGTCTTCCATTCTTTTGATATCGGTAAAATGGAGACCCAGATTTTTTTTGGGGGGGCAATATGCTGACATTGTAAACTGCCCAGAGAGTGCTATAAAGCACTATGGAATGGTATATAAGTCTAAATACTATTGCTTTCACATGGACCCATGATAATCTGTCTCTTCCTGATCTTTTTCAATTGTAGTTTTCTCAAAATACCCAGGGAAGGTGTGCAGACTGAGCCTTGCTTCAAGGAAATTATTTAAAGGAGAGTTATAATAGTAGATAGGGCTTCTGTGAATACGCTTGTCTAGCTGTAACTGTTCCTTGGAGCATGTTCCCATCCAAAGAGCCTTTCATCCTGGGAAAATACAACAAATTATATACATGAAACATATCAGAGCATGTATGGATATATCTGGGGCTGTATTTAGGTTAAGATGCAGTCATGTGTATCAAATATGTTGTTGTTTAGGAAGGGGTATATGTGTGCCCACAAGAAAGCCAGCCCACATACATATTTTGTTGTTACTGACCAAAAAATGTTCACTAGTGATGTTGCCCCATTCAGTTTCTATTTTCTCTCACATACACGCATATTCATTTAAACAAGTGTGCGGTCTTGCAGTTAACAGTGGAATATGTCCTGTGGTTTTATAGATCAGATTCCACTGCTTAATCCCATTATGCAATTAAAATTCTTTCATAAAACTGTAACAAAAGAGAGATGAACTTAAGCATCTAACACAGTGTTTAAAAAGTATTCATTGGAAGTCTCCATTTTAATCCTTTTTCTCTGCATGAGATAAATCTGAAAATGGAGTCTTGCAGACAAGAACCAAGTAGAACCTAACTGCAGAGGGGAAAATGTGCTGGGCAGGAACCAAATACTTATGAAGACACTTTTTAACATTCTGTTTCAGGTCAAAAGGCTGTAGACAGTATTAATGCGAATTTAGCTATAAAGCAGTATTTCAAGTTTTCTATGTTACAAACTTTTATGTCCTAAAATAAGGATTTGATATTTGAGAGTGGGGGGAGTAGTCTTTTAATTATTTTAATTATTTAAATTTTGCATTCTCTTTTGTGAGATGTGTGAAAGCTGTCTTAAATCAACAATTGGCTTCCGTCTCCTACCCACTAGAAATTATTTGAGCATACAGCTTGCACAAAAGCACTTTGTGTTGTTCTTGATGTAGGAGCTCAATGTAATCATGCTTTATGTCTTCACAATTTTCATGATGGGCAGGATTCCCGCTTTGAAATTGCTGAGAATGGGACGTTGCGTATTAACAGTGTGGAAGTGTATGATGGGACAATGTTCAAGTGTGTAAGCAGCACTCCGGCAGGAAGTATTGAAGAACAAGTCCGCGTACATGTTCTGGGTATGTGCTAATATTAAAGCCTTTGCTTATTGCATGTGAGGTTATGTCTGTGTGTATTGGTTCATTTAACCCCAAACCATATAACATGGAAACATATGCAATATATAAGTATAAAATACAAAATATCAAAAGACAAGCAAGCACCATTACAAAGCCACCAAAAGGGAACCCTTCCCAACTGGCTCCTTGTGGTTGGGGGAAAAGACAGCTCTTCAGGACACTCCTAAAGGCAGTCAAGAGTTGGAGCCTGTCATATATGGGGGGGGGGAGAGATAATTTCAGAGAATGAGGGCAACCACAGAAAAGGCACACTTCCAAAATCCAATAAGATGACAAGATTTAAAAGAAGGAACCTGGAGCATGACTCTTACGTTTGGCTCTTATATTCCTGATGTTGCCTTAAACTTGAGAGTCTTTATAGACCTTGAAACTTCTCTCGGCCATACTCAGATCTCTGCAATCCATGAAAACAAGGCTTTCTTGCGGAAAATTTAGGAATGTATTATTTGGATGCTTTACTTGTCTCTTTAAGCCTCTGACAAATGCAATTTCATTTCAGAAAAGCTGAAGTTTACTCCTCCTCCTCAACCCCTGCAGTGTGTTGAATTTGATAAAGAAGTCACTATTTCCTGCTCAGCTACAGGGCGAGAAAAACCTGCAATCCACTGGATTAAAACCGGTACAATCTAAACATTGTAGATTATGGGTGGGGTTGCAAGTTACACAATATTTGCTTTTTGCAATAGATTTAATTACAAAAAGCATTTTTAACTTCTGCTTTGGAAAGAAATCCAGTTGAATTGTCTTTTAGATTTGCCTTTAGTCTTTATTAATATAGTTTTGAAACAAAATACTTCCCACATCTATTCTGTGAAATAAAATTCCCCAGCATACCTCTCTGCAGCCTGGTATTCTGTTGATTGGGAATTGGTGAGTTGTAATCCAAACTGTCTGGGTGACACTGAATTAAGTACGATGAATCTGTTCAAGCCCTTGCTTTCTATTTAGTGCACTCTTGCTACTTATTATCTAGTTTTTATTTTTTATTTTTTGCTCCTGGCCAGATGGGAGAAATCTGCCAGCTTTGGTCAGTAACAATTCTGGAAACCTGCACTTTCATAAAGTGACACGAAGTGATGCTGGAAACTATACTTGTATTGCTTCTAATGGTCCACAAGGGGAGATCAGAGCAACAATTCAACTTACAGTGGCAGGTAAACATTGGGTGACAGAACTCCATGTATTGCTAGCATGATTAGCAATATGAGTGACCTGTTTAATTCTCTATAAGTCTTCAGTCCATTTATTTCTTTTTATATTATAGGTAGTCCTCGACTTACAACCATTCACTTAGTGACCATTCGAAGTTACAACAGCACTGACAAAAATGATTTATGATGTTTTTGACACTTATGACCCTTGCAGTATCCTCATGGTCACATAATCAAAATTTGGATGCTTGGCAACTGGTTCATATTTATGATGGTTGCAGTGTCCCAAGGTCATACGATCACCTTTTGCTGCCTCTTCTGACAAGCAAAGTCAATGGGGAGGCCAGATTCACTCAACCATGTTATTAACTTGACAACCGCAGTGATTCACTTAAACAACTGTGGCAAGAAAGGTCGTAAAATGGGGCAAAATTCACTTAACTGTCTCGCTTAGCAACAGAAATTTTGGGCTCAATTGTGGTCGTAAGTTGAGGATTACCTGTACAATAAAGCAGCAGGCCCAAACCTTTTGGGCACCAGGGATCGGTTCTGTGGAGAGAGGACTGGAGGGGGCATGGTTTTGTGTGCTGCCCTCATACCATGGATGGGGCTTCGCTTGTTTGCACAACTCAGTTGTTAGCCTGCCACAGACCGGTGTCATGGGCCGGGGGGCGGTGGGGACCCCTGCCATAAAGCATACATGTATATACTCACTCTGTAAATGAAATGTTCCTATCTCTAAATGCTAAGAGAAGACTTATATTACTGTTAAGGCATCTCAAGTAATAAAATACCCGGGGACTGTCTGGGATGAAGAGCATCTTTGTGAGCCTTGATGATAAAATGTAGGAAAATGGTTTTCTCTTCTGCTCATCATAACTACTACTATCTGATAATATAGTTAGTGTAACAGTCTCTGCTAGCTTGATGTTTGAGCAACGTGTTCTTCGAAGACACCTGGTCTCCTCAATTGTACCAAGAAACACCAGAGTCTAGTGGTGTGTAAATGGTTTCCTTTTCTTCTTTTAGTATTTATAAGTTTTAAATTGACGCCAGATGACACAACTGTATATCCAGGACACACAGCCATGTTTCAGTGTCAAGCTGAGGGTGACCCATTGCCACAAATCCAGTGGAAAGGAAAGGATAAGATTTTGGATCATGATGAATTTTCACCCAGGTATGGCTCTTTTTTCCTCCCTTTGGCTGATTAGCTTACTTAAGATGTTAAATGAATAAATGTCTGAGAGAAAGAATGTGTATCTATATACACCACACACACGCATTAAATCAGGAAACTATAGTTGAAAACTATAGACTTATTTTTGGAGCCAGGCTCAGTTGTCAGTGTTCTAAAGGTTATAGCGTTTGCTTTTGTTCAGGAGAAGCTTCATACTTGTATTTCAAAAACACATTTTCAGAATATACTTGCAAAGAGTTAGAGAGGTCTACAACAAACACAGGCTGAAACTTAAACAGCTTCAAATATAAATTTATTTTCAAACTTAAATCTGTAGCACTTTTTTCTGATTTCTTTTGCATATTATTTTTGTCAGAAAATATGTGGAAATATGGAGCAATGTGTATAGACTGCAGAGCAGCATGTATGAGGAAAAGGAGGATTCCTATTATTACAATCCCATGGTATCTCAGTCAGTATCATGGATAACCATCAGAGATGACCATTATCAGCCGTTAAGACCAGAAAGCCATAATTTTAGGAAAAATGGGAGGGGTGGCTTGGAATATCTGAATTTTATATGGGGGTTATTGTAAAATTTTGAGAAGTAAGATTATAGTACTGTAGTACATACATATTATGCATGTATGTGTTTGTTGATACAGCATGTTAAGAACAAGTTCTATTCTCTAACTTTGTCTTTAACCCAAATTTGTAGTTAGGTTGGAACTTATACTTACAAATATGATGCCTGTTATTAAAAATGGCTCCCTCAGTTCCTAAAAGCTGCCCAATGCTTTTAGGAACTGCTGAAGCCCTGTGTTTTTAATATATAGCAAATGTTCATTGGTTTTCAGAAGTTCTTGAAAGCAGTGCACAGCTTTAGCACTTTGTCAGCCTGAGGAAGAAAAATGCATCCACCATATTTTGTAATAGGTATCCCGATCATATCTAGGGGTTTCCTTAAGTCGGACAGGTTCTTAACCTGTGGACTGCCTGAACCCACAATACGGCTACATAATTAGGATCTAAAAATTCCAGCTTTCACATTGTTCTTTAGATATTTTTACTTGAAAAAATGTAGACAACGGCTGGAGAAACGATATTGTTCAGTGGAAAAATAGAACGAGTGATGTAAACTATACATAAATATTTGAGTTAATGGAATATATAAAGTGGTAGAAATACATGCATAAACATTTGTAATATCCTTGAAATTCATGCAGTTGTAGCAGCCAATATGAAATGCAAGTTCTATAAATAAGACCTCATAAAGAGGGCAAAAAAGAATGTATTTCAGGAAGAGAAGTTAAGCAGCAACCATAAGAGCACACAAGAAAACCACATTGTCATTGCCAGAGTGTCTGTCTATCCATTCTCTCTTCTGCTTTTCCTATCTTTACTATATAAATTGCTCTTGAACTGCTGTGCTTTTAAGGAGGCTCTTTTCTCTGTTTTAATCACCTTCAGGCCTTTTACATCTCCTGCCTGCAGTTCCTTCTCCACATCATGTTTTGTGAAAAAAGTTCTCTCTCTAGCTTGGGGCAAAACCCTCCTCAGAAACTCACACAATAGATGAGCAATTAATTGCTCTGTCTCATTGCTGTCTCATGTATGAAGCCATAGCCAGTATTTACAGTTGATCAAACATTAGGCAGATGCTTCTTGAAAATGCCTCTGCATCATGGATGTGTTGACTCAAAAAAATAACACAAGTGCCTCACATGTCTTATGCTTTTCAACCCTAAAGTTCAACCTTTGTTGCTCCCAAAAAATCTCTGGTGGTTGAAGTTTTGTACCCAAAACTTTGGAGACCACGTAACATTTAAATGGTAACCATTCCGCAAAAAAGATCACATTTGTGTGAATGTTTGGAGATTGGAATTTATAGAATAGATTAGATCCATTTTTTGAACACAGAGCTGGAACTCAAGATTTTAAGCTACATGTTGAGAGAGAAGAATTAGAAATGTAGAAATAATTTTATTTTCAAGCTGATGAGGCTTCTTTTAGAAAATCCTAAGACTTTCACTGCAGGTAGTCCTTGATTTATGACCACACTTGACCTAAAATTGAGCTTTGCCCTATTATATGACCTTTTTTGCCACAATTGTTAAGTGAATCTGATTTCCCCATTGCCTTTACTTGCCAGAAGATCACAAAAGATGATAACATGACCCCAGGACACTGCAACCGTCATAAATATGAGTCAGTTGTCAAGCATCTGAATTTTGATCATGGGACCATGGTGATACTGCAATGGCCATAAGTGTGAACAATGGTCATGTCACTTCTTTCAGTGCCATTGTAACTTTGAATGATCACTAAATGAACTGTTGTAAGATGAGAACTACTTGTATTATGTGAATGTCGTATAGTCATATCCTTTGGAAGTCTTGATAAGAAAAGCCCAGAAGGTTTACTGGATTGTTTTTACTCTGAAACACAAGAAACCACTGCAGTTATGCTATTGGTTAGCATTGCATTCTTCTTTTAAGTCTGTTTTTGAAAGAATTGTCATTTATCAGAAAATGTAATTGGCTGCTACATTTTGGTTTCAAAAAGAATGATTGTTGGCAGGACGGCATATTTGGAAAAGATGGGCTTGCCTGACACAGATCAACTAAAGTTACAAGACAATAGTTTAATTGCATGAGCTTTCCCTACCCTTTGCTTGCTTTTATATTTTTTGCAGGATCCAAATTATGACCAATGGCTCTCTAATAATATATGATGTCACCACTGCGGATTCTGGCAAGTATACCTGCATTGCTGGCAATAGTTGCAACATCAAGCACCACGAAGCCTTTCTCCATGTTGTTGGTAAGGATTATAAGTTTGATGGTGATTAGGCTATAGTGTTTAGAATGCAAGAAGGTGACTCTTCTATCAAAAATTCAGCATCTCCTAAGTAAAGTTTCTCAGCTCTTCTAGAAATGAGTCAGAATTTCTGTACCTACATATTGTGGGTTTAGCACAATACTATTACCAATTGTGGAAGCAGTCCAGATTATTATACTAGACAAGCTGAAATTTAATTGTATCTAACAGTTTTCCCAATTATTCAGAAATAAGAAACTTCCACATTTTATTGTGTGTGTGTGTGTGTGTGTGTGTGTGTGTGTGTGTGTGTGTGTGTCTGGGTGTGTGTGTGTGTGTGTGTGTGTGTGTATGTGTGTATTCAGATTTATTTTTGCTGACAAAGAGTTAAAGAATTAAGTGGGAGACTAGAATGAGCTATTTTTTATACATTATAAGACAAAAACACGTCTGGTTGTATATTGCGTTATATACTTAATATCAGCATATGTATTTTAATAATTCGATGGCACATCTCATGTAAGGTTGGCATCTTATTTCCAGATTTACCAGTTACCAATTCAGAGGACATACCCAACAGCCACACCCCTTATAAAATGATCCAGACCATAGGGCTATCTGTGGGTGCTGCAGTGGCGTATATAATAATCGTCCTGGGCCTCATGTTCTACTGCAAGAAGAGGAGGAAAGCGAAGAGACTGAAGAAGCAGCCAGAAGGTGAAGAACCAGAGATGGAATGTCTGAATGGTAAGTTACAGGATCTTTTTCATGCCTTGAACAAAATGGTTTTTTTTTTAATTCAGCTTAGGTTTCAGGGATAAAAGTTGAATTAATTAGTTGGTGGGGGTGTTTATTATGAAGATAAGGATTCAAATAGATCAAATAATACAATTCTGTAGGTTAAACTAACATTGCAGGGTCAGAGAAAATGTTGGAGGTTTTTAAAAGAACCTTGGAAGTTCAAAACAGAAGGTTAGATGGAAACTGATAACAGTGGATAAGGGGTATCCTAAACTCATGTGATTCTCAGTTCATCCCAGGGATGCTTTATATGATTTTTCAAAGCCGTTTAATATCCAGATGAAAAAGAATTTGGGTGAATTTATGGACCTGCTAATTTGTAGTAGATGCATCAGCCACAGATTTCCCGTGTTTGATTTTGAAAGTAGCTGGTTTCCAGAGACTGCTTTTATAAATTGTTCTTCTCAGGAGACACACAATATTCAGAATAAATTTAAAATAGCTTTAAATTGTTTTATTTGCAGGGCTGGGCATAATTTAAAGTACATAATATTGATGGGGGGGGGAGGGCCTCCTTATCCTTAAATTATCCTTCAGTTTGGAAAGCACCTGGCTAGACTGTGAGTTCTAGTCCCATCTTAGCCATGAAAGCTGGCTGGGTGACCTTGGACCAGTCATTCTCTCCCCCCCACCTCATGGGGAGGGGTATTGTGAGGAAAATAGGAGAAGAGAGGAGTGCTGTGTTTGCCACTTTGAGTTATTTATTAAAATAATAAAGGCAGAATAAATAAAATAATATTGTTATGCAGATAGAAGATTAGCTGGTTTTTTAATCACTCCACCAGCCTTTAATATATTTTAGATGTTCCTGCAGTCTTTCTTGTAAAAGGCTAATTTAAGTCATTGGCCCTCTGAGATTCTAAGGATTGTCCAGAATATTCTGTTAGTTCACCATTGGTAACCGCAGTAACTACCTATCAGCACCTCTGCTATTAGAAATCATGCCAAACCAATGTTATTTCATTCTTTGATAAAATGACTAAATTAGTAGACCATTGAAATACTGTGGACATAGTATACTTAGATTTCAGTAAGGTATTTGACAAAGTAGACCACAACCTGCTACTTAGTAAGCTGGAAAAAGATGGTATAGACAACAACACCATCAGATGGATCTGTAGCTGGTTGACAAACCATACTCAGCGAGTAGTCCTCAATGGTACTTACATCCACATGAAGAGAAGTAAGCAGTGGGGAAACAATGGGTGGAAACTGACCAAAGAGAGAAGCAACCTGGAATTAAGGAGAGACTTCCTAACAGGGAGGACAATTAACTAGTGGAACAGCTCGCCTCCAGAAATCGTGGGTGCTCCATCACTGGAGGTTTTTAAGAAGAGACATGTCTGAAATGGTAACAGCAGACTGGGTGGGACTAAAAAGTTCAATCAATCAATCAATTCCAACTTTGCAAGATCTTTTTTTTTCCACGAGAATTTGAAATTGACTGATTGATTGAACTTTTTTTTTTTGTACATGGCGGCGGAGGCCTAAAGCGAAAAGGTTTTATAAAACCCAGCTGAAGGCCTAGGACTGGAGCGACGGCGCGCGTGCCCACAGAGAGGGCTCTGAGTGCGGCTTCTGGCACCCATGCCATAAGTTCGCCACCACTGGTATAGGTTCTCCAGCTCGAGCAGAGGGCTGAACTAAAATACCTCCAAGGTCCCTTCCAGCTGTATTCTGTTCTGATCTTATGTTATCTAATCTAATCTAATCTAATTCTGACCTGACTATTGAAAATTTATGAACTAGCCACAAGAGGTCTCTAAAAGGTAAAACAAGTGGTAAAATAATACCAGAGTTCAAAGACACACTTAATGGGCATCCTAAATTACATGTTTAGATGGCCCTCTAGTGACCAGAGTTAACAGATGTTAAGAAGGTAGTTTTGCAATAAATAAATTCTTATCTACTTGCTCCAAAATTATTTAAAGGATTTTTAATATAACAGTAATTTTCTTCTACGTTTGTTGCGTGTTATTTTTTATTATACTTTAAGCCAAATTCTAAAAAAGCAGCTGTATCATCCAAACCAGATTTACAAACCTTGACTTGCAACCATTTTTTAGCAACCATTTCAAATTAGGACAGCACTGAAAAAAAATAACTTACAGCCATTGCAGCATCCACATAGGCACATAAATATGATCCCAGCTTGGCAAATGTCTGGCATTTACTACAGTTGCAGCACTCCGGGTCACGTAATTGCTATTTGTAATTTTTCCCAGCCAGCTTCTAACAATGGGGAAGCAGGCAGGGAAGATCACAAAACATAACCATGTGATGTCTGACTTAATAACTGCATTGATTCACTTAAGGACTGCAGCAAAAAAGGTTATAAAAATGAGTGCAGACAGACATGTATTGCCTTGCTTAACAATTGCAGCAAAAGAAAATTGAATGCAGTCACATGATGCCTTGATTAATAATAAATTTTATTATTCTAAATGTGGTCGTATGTTGAGGACTACCTATGTGGTGTTTATAAAGATTAAGAAACATCAACATATCAAAGTAAACTTTTATGGATGACATCAGAGATGCCACAAAGAAGAGGGAGCGAAGCTATTTTCCAAGGTGCCTGAAGACAGGACAAGAAGCAACGGATGGAAACTAATCAAAGAGAGAAGCAACCTAGAACTAAAGAGAAACTTCCTGACAGTTAGAACAATTAACCAGTGGAACAACCTGCCTCCAGATGCTGTGAATGCTCCAACACTGGAAGTTTTTAAGAAGAGACTGGATAGCCATTTGCCTGAAATGTATAGGGTTTCTTGCCTGAGCAGGGGGTTGGACTAGATGACCTCCAAGGTCCCTTCCAACTTTATTATTATTATTATTATTACTGAAATGAACTGAAGTAGTGGCTATATCCACTGGTGGTACCAAAGTTGGTGGTAGATGTGGATTAAAGAATGAAGCAGTGGGTTAGGCAACCTGGTGCCTCTAGGTACCAATGTACTTACCCCACACCCCCGCACATTTCTTGCTCCCTGCTAGACTTTCTGTTCTATTTTGACCTTTAAGTTAAATTAAAAATAAAGAGGAAGCCTGAATGCTGGAATATAGAGCACTAACCTCTAGCATAATTATTTATAGGAATGTTTTAGAACCCACAAAGATCAGGTTTCTCTGAAATCTGTCTTAGCTTTTAATGCACTACATTTTACAATCAATACTTTGTTTCCGGAGGATCATTAGCATGGAGCTTTTAAATTCCAAACATATGACACAGCCTGGGAAGACTTTGGCTTAACATTAAAAAAAAAAACCTTTTCTTTCAGGGGGCACTTTGCTGCAAAATGGACAGACTACTGCTGAGATCCAAGAAGAAGTGGCTCTGACAAATATTGGCAGCAGCTCTGCAGTCAACAAGAGACACAGTAGTAGTGATAAAATGCACTTCTCTCGGTCTGGCCTGCAGACAATCACTCCTCTGGGTATGTCATATAGCAGTCATTCTACATCGTATTTGCTTGCAGTACACATTCTGACCTCTCTTCTTCTGTTCCCAGCAATGTCCTGTGACCTTAACTGAGATCTTTCTGTGTGGCTTTTCCCCCACACTCTCCTAATTTTTATATCCTTTCCATCATTAGTTTTGTAACGTTCTTGTGTCTATCTTAGTTCTATACTTTTATCAAATTGTTTAAGTGTATATGCAAATGAAACTGATTGTTCTGAATAAAAAGGCCTTGCTTCATTAAATTATGCATAGATATATCATGGACATAATCCTGCGTGGACATGCTTTCCTATATAAGGCAAATGGGAAAATGCCTTCTATTGTGCTTGCTGTTGGAAGTATTTCAATTTAAATTAAAAATGTCTAGTTACTACAGAGTTGTTTTACTAATTACTTAATATCACAACACACATTTTCATTTTGCATTGTTCAAGCAGCTTTTGGAAAGTGTCTTTGCCTTGTTAGCGGTTTGGTATTGAGTTGTCTAAACGGAGCTTAATCCCTAAATTTCCATGAGACCAAAGAGGATAGACAAAAAATACCAAGCAGAGAAGTGATCTGTAGTAATTCAAGTTGTACATATTTAGATCTGGTTACATGCTGTTTTATAATTAAGCATAAGAACTGGGAGTTATGTCAAATATACCATGGAAGAAGTGGCTTCTAAGAAGGAAATTAGAGATGTATAATGGGTGGTACCACTCAAATATTGGAAGATGCTCTTTCAAATAAAAGGAGAACAGGCAGAAGGCAGCCAGGTTTTGTGGCAGTTTTATTTCTTGCTGAAATTAGGCTTAACATATAAGTGTTGGTCTTTAAATACTGTCTCACCCTCCACCCCAAATTCCCAGCACTTGCTGAGTAGCATTGATTCCTTCTATCTCAAATTCAAATCAGTCTTCTTCTACTTCAGTAATTGCAGCCAAATACTGTTTAATAGTTTGCTATATTTTTTTCTTCAAACATTTATATATTTTACATTTGGAAACATTTCAAATACAGCTGTCCATTTAGTCACTACTTTATATCAATATTTTATCTTCTTATTTCTGCCTTGTATTCATTATTAGATGGCAGAGTCATTTTAACCATTTAGATAGTCATTATAATTGGACTCTAATTTTTGAAAGCATAATTATTTCTTGTGTATTACTCTTCCTTATACATTACATTACTACATTTTAACTAGATATATTAAACTATATTTTAGTGTCTGTGCCATTCTGTTCTTCTAAAGAATCATTTAATTACCTTATATAAATTGCCTTATTATTAATTTTTATGCACCAAATTCTTACAATTTTATCTGATAGTCCTCAATTTAACAATGGCAATTGGGACCAAAATTCCCCTCACTAAGCAGTATGGTCATAAAACGTAATTGCATTGCTTAAATGCCACTGTCATTGGGCAAGGTAACTTCTGTGGGCTTCCCAAAATGGTGAGTCAGTAAAGAAGCTGAAGAAGTTGCAAATTCCAGGCTTGCAGGCAGATAACAGCTGCTTCTGAGTATGGGAGGGAGCAAGGGGATAGGTGGAGGTCTGTGAAGAATCAGAGAGCATACAGGAGAGGTGTTGAGTGGGTTGGGAAGACTAGTGGAGATTGCAGGAGAGGCACTGTGTGGATCAGAATGGGTGTGAGAGTCTGCAGGAGAGGCTGGGCACAGGAAGATGCATAAGTTCCATAAAGGTCAGGAAGGGTGTGTGGGATGCTCAAGTGGCCAGCAAAGGAGACCACAGAGTGGCTGGGGGAGGGCGGACAAGTGGGAGAGACCCACCTCAGTGACCGGCCATTCCCTTTCTGGAATAGCTGGCACGGAAGGTTGCAAATAGCATTCATGTGATCATGGGGTGCAAACAGTTATTGAATCAATTGAGATCTGTATTGTTATATGATTTTATAGCTCATTTTATTCTAGTCAGTTTCCGTGCTATATAAGCTGCATTGATGTTCAGCAACCTAAATGTCATTTCTTTTGTTTTGCTGGTCAGTAAGTGAAATCAGATGACTGACTGATTGACCAGCATTTCTATTCCCTTGAGTAATCACCAGACACAACTCCTATAGCCATCAGAAACCAAAAACAATTTAAGAGGCTGCACTTCTCCTAAAGCATCAGATGTATGGCCAATGGGTTCTCCTAAGTCCATTTTTATCCATTTAGAAACAAATATCTTTGTGTCGTCAAAAACTATCTGTGACCCAATGGATAAATGGGTGGGAGAAGTAGGTTCTGCATCATATTCTCTCATCCAACTCTAAAGTTTTCTTTGCAACTCATGGGCTCAAACTTTTCAACTATATTTTCAACAAATCTATATTGTGCTGTATTCTGTGTGTACTATAGAAATAATTAGCAAGCTGTTTCCTTTTATTTTTTTAAGGGAAAGGTGAATTTGGAGATGTTTTCCTAGCTAAGGCAAAAGGCATTGAGGACAATGACACTGAAGTGCTTGTTTTAGTCAAGAGTCTTCAGTCAAGGGACGAACAGCTACAGCTGGCCTTCAGGCAAGAATCTGAGATGTTTGGCAAACTGAACCACAGCAACGTGGTGCGATTGCTTGGCCTATGCCGGGAAGCAGAACCTCACTATATGATCTTGGAATATGTAGATCTGGTAAGAAATCTAATCAAATATTCAGTTGCTATATATGTGGGATTTTTGTTTGTTTCTTTTTTAATAATTATTCAAGGTTGAAGCTGTATACTTTTATTTACTGTTAAGAGAAGACCTGTTGATTGAAATAAGTACAGTAATGGATACAGAGCTCTTGAGTAAACCTGTGTTTTGCTATGGCTAATGAACTGATTATGCTTTTTTAAATTTACTTTGGAGGCAAAGGGCAGTGGTTTATATGGTAATTCCATCCCTTTAGTTGAAGGCTGAAGAAGCTGGTAACTGGAAGGGGACTTCCATATTGAATATTTATTTATTTCTCAGTTTCAATTAATTCACTCAGGCAATTTACAGCAAAAACATAAAAACATTCAAGATAAGAAACAGTAAAACATTTGTAGTAACACAACTCAAACAAATACAACATTCAAATATCCCTGGTAGGCTTAGAAACACAATGCTTTAAAATTTAAGACACGAACCAGTAACAAACTCATGATGGTATCCATTCTGTAGGGAAAAGCTCTATGGAATAGCTTCATATTTACTTGTTTCCTGAATCTTAGATGGAGTGGAATGGTTTGATAGGGAAAGCTGGATGTCTCAATGTGGCCCTATTTCAGAAAGAAGTGTTTACACCCAGAGGTCTCCAACCAGGGTCCTTGGTCACAAGTACAGTTTTTAAATTATGAATGCTGGCCTGTTCCCCCATCCTCAGCCCTGGCTTCAAAATTGTTGATGAACCCAAAATCTGGGAGAATCAGATCTCTAATAGGGCAACATTGTCTTCACCCAACTGGGTCTTGAGAATACATGCTGACTCTTGCCTGTTGATCCACTACTGAATACTGTATGAACATGGTATTACTGCAGATAATCCTGGTATTTATTATCAGCATCTTAAAACTGTTTTATGTGATCAGAGATGTATTTATGAAGAGATTTATAAAGTGAATTGGTCTGGCTTCTTTTTGTCTCGGTATACTTTTGAATAGTTTTGAAGAGCTTGATTTTTTTTCTGCTAGGGAGATCTGAAGCAGTTCCTGAGGATTTCCAGAACTAAAGATGAGAACCTCAAGCCCCAGCCCATTAGCACAAAACAGAAGGTAAAATGGTATAATTGGAGAGTTAATAGTGTCTGAATCTAAAGAAGGCTGTAATTGTAGAGAAAGGAGTGAGTTAATTTGTAAGAGTCAATAATTATATCATCCAATTTGGTATACCATTTAGGCTGCTATGCGGGTGCCTTATATTCCAATGTTGTTGTTAGGTTATTTAAAAACAGGCCTGCATGTTGAATTTTTATACAGAAAGTTGTTTACAGCTAGATTCTGGCTAATTGTAGATCACAAATAGACAATTTGCAAGCCATTGTGGGTCTTGATCTGTTCTACAACCTTCCATTAGTGACCTAAGATATATTTATTTATTTGTTTGTTTATTTAAAAGATGTGTATAGCTTCCCAACTAAAATCACAGCTCTGGAAAGCTCACTCACTAATGAAATTACAAACCATAAAACCATAAACATAAAAAAATAAAACCAACAAAATTCCAGTGCCTCAATTATCTCCTAGGACAGGGGTAGGCAATCTTGGCTCTTTTATGACTTGTGGACTTCAACTCCTAGAATTCCTGAGCCAGCATGGCTCAGCTTGGAAACCTCTCCCTTTCCCCTCAGAATGGCTGGCTCAGGAATTCTGGGAGTTGAAGTCCACGAGTCATAAAAGAGCCAAGGTTGCCTACCTCTTTCATATGATGTCACAACAACTGTCTGTAGGCACCAATCACTCTATCTCTCACTGCCTGGGTAAAGAGCCAGATCTGATGGTCTTCCAGATGTCTAAAAGAGTGGGGGTCTGCTGAATTGCCAGGAAAAGGATGTTCCTCAGGTCTGAGGCAGCTATGGAAAAGGCATGCTTCCTAGGTCCCTCTAGATCCCAAGGGGGTCGCAGGCTGTGGGAAAAATGGGCAAGTGCACATGCATGAAGCTTCACTTGCACGAGCAGCAGGCAACTGCGTGCACAAACCTGGAGCTCCACATGTGTGAGTGCAGGCCGCTTGTGCTCATGTGCAAAGTTCCATTCACGCAAATGAGCTTAAGTGCCTTCTGCTCAAGTGTCCTCCGCTCACTCAAGTGGACCTTCACACACGAGCACAAGTGCCTGCTGCTCACATGAGCTTCATGCATGAGTGCAAGCACCCTCCGCTCTTGTGCGAAGCTCCATTCACACAAATGGAACTATGTGTGCACGTGTGCATCTAGCACTCACATGCCACCTCTGCACTGACCCGCCAAGCTGGAAGGGTTGGGGACCCACTGCTGTAGATGGCAGCATTTCAGGAAAGGACTTGGACTGTACCTACTTTAACCAGACTAGTGGGACAGGCAAATACTTTAATGGAGAAGCAGTCCTGCAAATAGCCCGGTCCAATGTTATGTTAGGCTTTAAAAGTACTTAAGGTGCTTAAGCAAGCATCTTGAATTGCATCCTGCAGAAATCTGGAAGCCAGTGCAGTTTGTGCTACAGTGGTATAATGTGGTCAAACTTAGAGGCACCCAACACTGCACATGCTGCTGCATTCCAAACCAGTTGTAGCTTCTGAATAGTCTTCAAGGGCAGACCCACATTCAGCACATGGTACTAGTCCAAACAGGAAGTCACTATGACATGAGTGACCATCAACAAGGTCTCCCAGTCCAGAAAAGAGTAGGGCTTTATAGGACGCTAGACTAGACATGTTTCAGATATATTTCTTTACCTAACAGATAAACAGAATAACCACAGATGTAGGGGAAGGACTAGCCGAGCCAGGAGAGCAGTCAAATGGGGACTTCATCTTGAATGCCGTTGAACCTTGTGTAGTCTCACTCAGGTGCAAACTTTTAGTCTGAGAAGATTCCTGCTTATAGACTTGAGCAATAAAACAGCTAATTGAACTCTTCAAGTGTGGGTCTTATCTGCACCTCACAACAGGTGGGCAAAGAAGCAGTGGGAGTGAAAATAACTTCCAACTTCCTGCCCGCTTCCCCATTGACTTTTCCCTTTGAGAATTGGCAAGGAGCATCAGAAATCATGGTCATGAGATTATCGCTGACTGTGGTGGCTTAGCAGTGTTGCAGTGGCTACAACATTGCCAATACAACTGGTCTGAAAATCCTTGAAAGTTCAGATCCACTGGAATAAAGAGTCCTAGATTTTGGACACACCTTTTAAGTTAGCCATTTGAGGTACATTGGCTCAAAAAATGTTCCTCTATGATGCAGCATTTCACCCAATTGAAGGTTAGAAACAGACAGGAGAGTTTTAGTATTACATAGATTACCAGTATCTTGAATTGAACCTGGAAACACCCTGATAACCAATGCATCTTGGAGACCAGAGGTGTAATATGTGTTGATCAAGGAGCAGGTATAACTGTCCCCGCCGCTGCATTTTGCATCAGCTATAGCGTCTGGATTCTTTTCAAGAGCAGCTCCATATAGAGTGTGTTACAGTAATCCATTTGGGAGATGATTAGAACATGAGTGACCAAGAAGAGAGCCTCCCAGTCTAGGAATGGGCACAACTAATACACAATGCAAAGTTGTGAAAAGTCTTCTGGCTGTGGCTACCACCTGGAGATGAATCCAGAAGGACACCCAGATTGCACATTTAATTATATTTTAATTACTTTAATTGTAATCATGTAATTTTGTAATTGTAATACAATTACAATTACAGTTTTTCTTATTTTCATTTGTAGGACAAATGTATTTAAAATAAAATAAAAAAAACATATATGCATCGTCAGGAGTATTCACTTGAATAGATTTGTTTTAGGTCTGAAATACCAATCTGCAGAGATAGCGGAAATTAAAAGAAACGAGAGTCTGCAATTAATATTTCATTGATGTGTGTGCTTTTTAAATTGGCCCAAAGTCTGGAGGGGCAACGTATATGTGGCCTGGAGCAACACTTAACATTTGGGGAAATGTTGGGCTGCATATATAAAACTAGCCTGTTCTTGGTTTAGAGATAAACTTCCTGTTTTTAAAGCTTCGTTGAACCTAATTGTTTCCTGCCTCTAAATAGTGAAAAATTGTGCCACCAGTGATACTGGCCAGAGGAGGCCCAGGGACTGCAAAGAAGAGACTTGGGGGATACTTACAGCACTAGGGTATTCAATTCTGTTCTAAGGCATTTTGCAGGATAGGAAATGACAACTGATGTTAACTGTCTGTCCTTTATTCTTCCTCTTCCAGGCCAGTTCAGAGAATACTTAGCTTCACATGGGATGCTTACTTATGGTTTTATGTATCTGGTGTTTTTCAGTTATCTTTCTGCTGTCAAGTGGCACTCGGGATGGAACATCTCTCCAATAGCAGGTTTGTTCACAAAGACTTGGCGGCTCGGAACTGCCTGGTCAGTGCGCAACGGCAGGTGAAGGTGACAAAACTAAGTCTCAGCAAGGATGTTTACAACAGGTAAGATTGCTTTGATCTCTTAGCGGATGCTCCAAAGGCCATGTTTAGAAAATTTGGGCAGAACTGATTTATCCTTTGCTTCTCCATGTTCAGCGAATACTATCATTACCACCAAGCCTGGATTCCACTTCGTTGGATGCCCCCCGAAGCTGTCTTGGAGGATGAATTCTCTACAAAATCTGATGTGTGGTCCTTTGGGGTCATCATGTGGGAAATATTTTCATTGGGGGAATTGCCACATTCATCATTGGTGAATGAAGAGGTGTTAGCAGGTATGTGAACCCTTATCAAGTTTTCCCTTATCTAGTGAAATGTATATAGACTGGAGTAACACTGGGCTATTGTAAAACAGCTTGTTTACTAAATAGCTAGCCTACTATAAAAGAAGTAAAGGTATGCTGGAAGGAGATACCCAGTCTGGTGTTCCACTTGGTTTCAGATGATGATTGAAAATGCAACATTAAGTTAGAACATAGAATAATAGAGTTAGAAGGGACCTTGGAAGTCTTCTAGTCCAACCTGCTGTTGATTGAGTTATTAATAAAAATGCTTGAAATCAATCAGATGCATTTGATTAATTGATTTTCCAGTTCTTATTGTTAATATAAATCTATATGCTATTAAAGCTCGGTTCTATAACGAGGAGAAACTGCACCATGGGGCAACAATTTTTGAACCCTCAGATGAGCTAACTTATGGAATGCGCCCAAAATCTGAGACCCATGACTCCCATGGAATTGAAATTTGGCAAATTTTATAATTTTTTTATGATGTAAAAATCATAATAAAACATTGTATGACTTCATACAAAATGTCACAAAGCATTTCATGTGGTAAATTCCTGATGTTTGACTGCCGTACAGTTCAACAAGGGCTATTTTCAGAGCAAATACATATCTGAATATCTCCCTGAATTTTAAGAACTTTTCCAGGGAAGGCAGTATATTAGAAGCTCTGCCATTGTTGAAGGCCTTAAGGAATCTGGCAAGGAAATATCTTTAAAATAATGACTCAGTGGATCCTAGGTTGTGCAGTATTTATTAAAAACTGCAAATACGAAAAGAAAAAGATCCTGTGAGGTGCAAGCATGGTCCTTGCTGAATGTGGGAAAAGAACAGAGCCTTCTCTTAGATCAGAGGTCCCCAACCTTTTGGGCACCAGTGCCATGGAGAAAGATTTTTCCGTGGACCAGAGGGGGTTGGTTTTGAATTCTACCTGCATCCCAAGGATGGAGCTTTGCTTGTTTGTGCGGCCCGCTTGCCGGCATGCTGTGGACCAGTGCCAGTCCACTGACCAGGGGTTGGGGACCTCTGCCTTAGTTGATGTCTATTTCAACATTTGCTTACATCTTACATTAAAAATAGTGCCCATTTCTTTTCTCACATATGCATTTGATTAGAATAATAGCCCTCATAATTAAGCTTACGACCTATGCTTCTAATTAGGTATTATTAGCATACTTTCAAGTCCAAACTTTATTTTTACAAGTTTTTTTATAAAATATTTAATTTAATATTATAAAATATTATTATTTTATAATAATCTTATTTTTTTTATAAAATAGCAGCTTCTTTGATGATAAATATTGTTGCCTATATCACATGATACATTTTGGAAGGTTTAGAAAAAATAAGACAGCCAGAAGAAAAAAGTTGAACTGCTCTAAGCCTCATGAGTTTGTCACAGAATTACAGCAGGTTAACAAACAAATCTGTGAAAACTTTATATTACTGCCAAAGCAAGCAAGTAATAATATCCGTGTTGAATTATTTGTATTTTATAACATATGCAACCTATTTTATATGTTGGATGATACTTGGAAAACCAATGCAAAATGTAACAGCTCCTTATCAGTGGGAACTGTTTCCCAGAGGTGAATAGCAGTACCTCCCTATGGAAGAGTAGGGATTTTTCCTATGGTTGGAAGAACTGAAGTCAGTTTGGAAAAAGACTGATGCACAGCTATGCATATTATTTATCCTAGTTCTTGCTATTGGTAAAGGAAACATGTTCAGCTTACTAAACTTTACTGGACAGTTGTGTTACTGTTGTACTTTATTTAATAAAAGAGATTTTATTACAATTTCTTCAATATAATTTCAGACAGGACAGAAAAAGGGGAAAGATGAATGGGATGGAATTGGAAGAGAGAATTGGATGAAAGATAGTATTGTTCCTCTTATCATTTTGATTTGACAGATCTTCCAAAACACACAGAAGAGCTGTTATATGGAAGATGGAGATTTTAAAGATAAAAAATAATCACAAAATTAGTAGATTATCAAAAAATAATCTAAGTTGCTGCTTGAAGGCAAATAATTAAGGAACTGTACTGTTCCTGAAAAGTTCATAGTACACGCATCCTAGAAAAAACTGGACGGCAGTCTTTCCTTTCTTATCCTGTGCTTTCTTTTTCTCTGTTTAGGTTTACAGTCTGGGAAAATGAAGCTTCCCCATCCAGACGGTTGTCCCTCCAAATGTTACAAGTTGATGCAGCGCTGTTGGGCTCAAAGCCCTAAGGACCGCCCGTCTTTCAGTGAGATTGCTAACATGCTTGGAGAAAGCCCATCAGAAAGCAAGGCCTGAGTAGGAAATGCCCACCCTATTCAAAGGTTGGATTGGACTGAAATCTCATTCTGGTATCTTGACTGTTACAGATTCTCAATGGGACCTAACAGAACCAAAGGGGACCAAAAACTTTTACACAAGTGGATGAAGGCTGTGGATGTTTTCTTGATCTGAGATGTCTTCACCAGGCTGTGTTCTCTGTGCCTGGCCAGGTTGCATTCCTCCAGGGTCTACCTCTGACTTCCACAGGACTAGTTAAAAACATCTTAGAAATGAAGGGAATGCTGGCAACTACCATCTTAGATACTTTCACAAGGAAAGCCTGTAACAAGTTTTTGGGACTTCTCTGTCTTGGCACATTTAACCTTTTATTTAGTTTTCAAATCCTTTCATGGAAAAGCACAGACAGGTTCCCTCTGGGAAAGGGTTTTATAATTTTGGGGGTGGGGGTGGGGAAGGGCACATGCAAAGAATCATGCTGCTCAGTCATTAATATTTTTTGGCAGGAGGCATTAAGATGGCAACAGGGAAACTAAAGTTGATAACGCCTGTTGTCGCTTTTATAATGTTTGCAGTATTTGACTGGATTTATCTTGTGAAGCAACCAAAAGTAGTGCTATGCACAATAGCAGCCCCATCCCAAGCTCACCTAATTTTTGATCCTGCAATGGTTTCTCACTTGACTGGAATCAGAAAGGCCTGGACTGCAATTATTTTCATCTTGAAGAGCTCCAGTGACTTTTCCTTGATTGTATCCCTGCTAAGGATCTAAGGAGAATCCTTCTTAAGACAAGGAGGAACCTGCATATTTATTGAACAATGCTTTATTTCTCCACCTGGTACTGTCAGTCTGTCAGGCCTTCTGCCGCCTCCTTACATACCCAGAAAAAAGCAACAAACACTAAGTGCCTGGCATATGAAGGAGACTTTCAGTAGCTTTCCTGATTATCTAATGCCGCTTTTTATATGATTCTTTTGGGGCAATGTTTGTTTTTCTTACTTTTTTTAAAGAAATGTTGACACTTTGCAGCCTAAGTAATTCTTTTATATGCACACACACATTTATATATATATTACTGGAATTGCAGCCTAGAGACAATTTAGCTTCAGTTTGCTTGAGCAGAGGAGTAGAACAGCCAAAAGGTTTTTTTTTTATAAAAAATAAAATAAAATACACTGCTTACAATAAAGAATCCCTCTCAAACAAAATTAAAATAAATTGCAATCTGTGTTTCTTTTCTTTTGTTTCTCTAGATGAATAAAAACATCTTGGAATGATTGTGGGATAAAAGCAACAAATGCTATCATATTAAGGTCAACACAATTTTTATTCATATTCTTTTAAAATGCTTTTAATCACTGAATTTATCTCATGTTTTTCCATTGTCTGGGTTGATTCATGACAAATGCTATGTCATCATTCATATGTCATATTGAATAGAAAACAACCCAAACTCATGGCTGAGCATTACTTGTGAACTGAGCAGTTATTTCTAAACTGTTGTATTTGGACTATGATATTCTTGAGATATCGTATCTGAGTTTCTTCATATAGCATATTCTTCCAATCCTGATTGTATTATTTAATATACAATAGGAATCTTCCATAAAAAGAGAAAAGGCTAATTCCATTACAGTTCTTTTCCAATACATCACCATGATTAATCTAACAAACTCAGACTGCTTTTGTTTGATTTTAAGAAATCAAAAAAATCAGTGTTTGCTTTGTATTTAATAACTTGGGAGATGTGCATACAGCACTGAATACTATATTGCATGTTTCTCAACCTTGGCAACTTGAAGGCAGGTGGACTTCAACTCCCAGAATCCCTCAGCCAGCCTTGAAGGTTGGGAATTCTGGGAGTTGAAGTCTGCCCATCTTCAACTTGCCAAGATTGAGAAGCACTGTATATTACATAAAAATCGTGTTATAGAATTAATACTTGTGTGGTGAAAAACTTGGAAGCAAGCTCAAGTGAGACAACCAACTCCTATACTTTTTTGTTGCAATCCCAAAATTGTGAATTTTGATAAACCTATGATAAGGCCAACTCACATGCAAAATTACTTTAGCCATTGTTTCTTACTGAAGCATCTATACAGTGACCATATTTTTATGGAAAGAATAAAGGACAAACCTGAAAAAAATAAATCTGAAAGAAGTTCATAAGATTAAAAATTGTTTATGTTTATAACCTTGCTTTACAAAGGAAAATTCAAAAGAAAATGAAGAAAAAATTTACAAAAACATGTATTCTAATAAAAATATGTAAAGTCAAATAGTAAATGTAAATTTATTTTAAAAAGATAATTCAGTTTCACATGAATGTGAATGACTAAGCATTAAGTGGTACCATTTGTATGGTAAAAGTTAAAGATCAAAATAAAGGATAAAAGTGAGTTTTTGAAAAATTTGAAGGACAACTTTCTGAAATAAAAGACTGTTCTTTATAGTAAAGGATATATGGTCAGTGTAAATATATAGGATCTGTATTCCAGAATAAAACAAAAAGCAAGCTATACAACTGCCAACTGCAATTTCTGAACATTACCCAAAAGGACTGCATAAGAAATTAATATTTATATACAGTATTACCAACTAAGACTGGAGAAGCACACCAATGCACTCAATGTCCATTGGGAAAAAAGAAATGGCTGTTGGAAGGCCTTTGTCAAACAGATTCCTTCAGCTTTTAGTAATCCCTGTCTAAATACATGTGTAGGATTGTGGTCTTGTATAGACTTTTTAAGAACCTAAACTTAAGATTGCAGCCCTTCAGAATCTTATGCACAAAAGCTCAATTGTCTGTTTTCTGTTTTTCAACCATGACAGCCGTTTCAGGTTTCTTGTACCATATTATTTTTTCTTGTGTTGCTGTTATTTTGCTATTCTATTCTCACTTACTCTAGTGTGGTGGCCTTTTTTGAAGAAACACACAGACATGGTGAAAAATGATCTGCTGTGAATGACTAAAAACTTTTCTCTCCAAGTAGAATATTAGGACTGAAAAACTCCAAATCAATTAAGCCCAACTCTGTCAGTTGCCAGAAATCACATTAAAGCCAACATCCTATTTAAACAAATTCAGTGAGAAGGAATTTGTCATCTGCTTCAATAATCAAACTATTTTTGCCACAGGAATTTTTTACAATAAACTTATTGCTGCCTGTTTCTCAATCTGTTATTTGTCGTCCCTCTGTATTAGACCACTATATTCTGTGTAACATCATTTCAATATTTGAAGAATGCTGTTCTCCATTTTCTCAAGGCTAAACATGTCCTGATCTTCTTCACTTTTTGTTTATTCATCTAATTTGTCTGGTCCATGGACTGGTAATGGGCCACGGCATGCCAGCAACTGGGCCGCACAAACAAGCAAAAATGCATTTTTATAGTTCAATCAAACCATATGATTGTCAAGGTGTGGTGGGGATTAATCTAATTGTGTAATTAAAATATTATTTTGAATAAGTATGGGATAGGGATTTCAAGGGAAGACATGAACAGAGCCACCTAACCTTCATTCTCTCTAAGCTGCAAAGAAGCTAGGCGTTCTATCCACAAAATTTACATTTACAGTCCAATCAGATGAGTGTAATACACCATAAATGGAAAAAATAGGAGGGGATAAGATACACAAGAGCAGAAGATGCCTGAAGGCAAGGAGTAACTTTGTGAAGGTTTCAAAACTGTTTTGCAAATTAATTGAACAGCAATACTTACCAACTGCTTTGCTTGCCTGGACTGTCAGCCAGCTTAACCTGAGGCAGATTTCCTTCCCAACTTGAACTGCAGTAATTAAAAGTTTGTCTGTGGTAGCTAAAACAAACAACTTCAACTGACTGCTAATATGTGACGGAACTATTTTATTGTGTAGCTCTATGACAAGAGAAGAAAGGAAGGGGTCTCAGTGCATAACCAGAAACTCTCAATAACAGGCTGATTGCAGAATCCTCAAGCTTTTTTTAAAAAAAATTAATCCTATTACATACTTCTGATTCTAATTAATTTGAATCCCCCATTTTTGAGAAGAATAGAGTTTACAGCAAGAATATTTTTTCACCAGACACTGTAGAACAAAAGGATTGGAAATTTGAGGAACTCATCTCTGTAGTCTCTGGATGGACTGCATTTACTATTTAGTAGTACATAATTTATTATATATATAGATTATATTTCCAGCATTTAACACCACCAGTTAATATATTCCTGAGCAATGTATGGAACTATCTGGGGAGGGCAACATAAAAGGTAAAATGTAAAAATATACTAAGAATATTTTTTTAAAATACTGGGGCCGTTGTGAAATTATAAATGCCTAAATAGGGAAATACATAAACTTGTAGTGCCTTAGTCTTGAGGTAGCCTTTTTTCTGACATCTCAAAGATTTTAGGGCTTTTATCTAGAATTCTGTAAGATTTCACCACCCTTGACTAAAATCAGTTGAACATGATAAAATCATATGAGATTTAGCAATTCTATATATGAGGTTTTGGTCATAAACAAAATAAAACATTAAATTTAGGGATCTTTCAAATTCAAAATGCAACAGCAATTTGGATACTATGAACATGATGCCCATCATTTTGCCTCCCCTAACCCCCCCCCAAATTGTATGAAATTAAAGCCAACAGAGAAAACACTAGTACCCCAAACTTAAAAAGTTACTGAAGCAAAAAACTTTTCCATCAGCAAAATAAGGATTTTAATGGAGACATTAAAAGGCCCTTTCTCCAGCAACATCTAATTTCTTTTTGAATGGAGTGAGTGAGAGCCTCTAAAAATGCTCTGAATGTCTGAGCAGGCTTACACAGAAGGAGGCTAACTGGTTAAAACTTTATGATGGTCAATAATCAGTTAATCAAATACACCCCAGTTGCATGAGCAAGAAATTAAGAACAAATACCTTGGTGGTTAAATATAGTTTATACAAGAAATGATGCATACATTTCACATTTAATCATATTAATGTAGAAAGATTTTAAATGCAGTGATTTATCTGATGGCATAGTCTCTGTGCTGATAAAAGAAAAGAACATAAGTACTTTTGTTTCTTCTTGGAAACCGCTTCTGGACTTTGTGCTTGGTGTGGAAAAAAATAATATGATTTGGGGTTTTTCAAGTTAGACTGATTTGCTGATACAGAAATGGCTAGTAGCGCATACTACTATAGAAATGTAAAAAGTTGAGATTTGATTTTAATGTCTGATTTTACTGCAACAGAGAGTTGGAAGCTTTCATACTACGTTCAGAATAAAATATTGTAGCACATTTTCCTTTTAAAACTGCTATGAGAAGACATAAAATTATAGTAATGAAAATGCTCTCATTTAAAAGAACTGTATTTTTTTCCAGTTCAGAATTTTAATTTCAACTTTTCTATTACTGAGTTGATTTAGATAGTTCTGTATATCATGGTCAGTCAAGCCAAGTCAGGCAAGTTTCATTATGACTTTTCCTTCTGAGAACCTAGCAATAAACAGGAATGATGGGTCAATACCAGCAGAACTCAGTTTCCACTTAAGGCTTGTTTCTATGATGAAATAAATTTAATATCAAGGGAAATGAACTTTGGAAGATGAGCTCTTAATCTAAGTCAGTAGTTACATAGTCAAACAGTTTCACTTACATTCAACTCTATTTTGCATAGTTCTACTTCTTGATCATGGGAAGAATTGGAGCATCTATCAGCCTGGCTAACTACAAAATCCCCTTCCCTCCCAATTTTCTTAGGACTGCCTCAATAGAGCTGGAGCTGTCAGAGTCCCTGTAGTCTCTTGTGTAACTGTTGAGGATGACTCTATGCTCAAAATGGTTTAAGAGCTGCTGGAACAAAATGACCATCATGTTTTTGAATAGCAAATGAGCACCTCTGAGGAAACTTTTATATGCTCCTTGTGAGTCCACATTTTACCAGTATTATCTTTTAAAATACTGACTTCTCTAGTCTTTTGATAATTTACACACAGCCTCATTTTTTGTCATCCCTTCCCTTTCGCAAAAGTCATAAGTTTTGATGTTCTGGTAATTTACTCATTCCCAAAGACAGCTGCAAAGTTTTTGTTTTAAGACCCAGGGCTTTTTTCCCCCATAGAACGCCCAGAACGGAGTTCCAGCACCTTTTTTGAATGGAACCTTGTAGGGTAAGCAAGGCGCGTTGTATGACGTGTGTGAGTTCCGGCACCTTTTTTTTTTAAAAGCACTGTTAAGACCAATAAGAGTTTGGGAAAATATTCCTCCATCAGCCATATACAGTAGGACCAGAAAATATATTTGAACTTCTTGGAAATAATGCAACAATGTCACTAGGGAATTTATATTGGGAATAAATAGGAGGCATGTTAGGAAGCAACCTTTCTTCACTTCTTGTTAAAAAATGTGGTATGAATGCCAGTGATGGTTGCATGTAACTCAACTTCAAAACTTGATGCTATGACTTTATATATAAGATGGGCCAGCTCACTAAATAGAAAACAAATTCATACAATTCTTTAACTTTGAGATTACAGAATTGTCTGTGATTTCCTCCCTCCTTTTCTTGTCATCCTTTCACCTAGTAAATTCAGATAATTTTTAATACGATTAACTCCATAGGTAATACATACATATTCTGAATTGTATCATCAAACTGAAGATGATGGTGTTTTGGAAAGTTTTTCCACCTACATTTAATGATAGAAAGGATGCTACAAGACCACGATAATGATAGGATAAGTTTTGTAACCTTCATATTACTTATGATAAGCTGTTAATAAAGTGGAAACTGAACAAACACAGTCAACCTTAAAAAAGATACAGTATATGATGGAATGACTAAGGATTCATTGTATGACGAAGTCAGTTATTTGCAATCTTGTTACCCAAGAATGATAAAGAATCAGGAATCTGGTAGTCTCTTTTCCGGGTAATAATTTTTGTTATATTCTTCATCAGATGCATCACCGTGCAGATCAGAAAAGCTTATGTTTTTAAAAAAATTGCCTAGTCAGAAAAGGAGGGGATACGAGACTGCCTGTTTTTTACTACATAATTGAGCCTGGAAATTAAGGTCATAAGTTGTGAGTTATAAAACGGGTCACCACAGGACCAGACCTGGGTGACCTTGGGCCAGTCATTCTCTCTCAGCCCAATCTACCTCACAGAGTTGTTATGGGGAAAACAGAAGAGCAAGGAGTATTAGCTATGTTTGCTGCCTTAAGTTGGGAATTACAAAATAATATTGCATTTTATTTATTTTAATTTTTTTAATACTTTATTGGTTTTTAACAATAACAATCTCCAGTGCCTGGTGTACAGCGTGTTGTCTTGGTTTATATATTTGAAAAAAAGGCAATAATAATTAATTAACAGTCAATAGATTGAATTTGATAATTCCATAATTAGACTTCGATATAACAATAAAAATGGAGTGGACTATAAAATTCCCAGGAGAATCATCAGAGTTTGGGAGACAGAAAGTATATATCCTACCTATTCTATCTTCTGTATTCCCAACAATATTTGTAAAAACACAAGAATTGCCAGGTAAGTGGAATATATCAACTTGGAAAACTATTCGGCAAAAGAAGGCGGCTAGAGACAGATTTAAGAGATTTGACTCGCCCTAACAGATGGAGTATTACATGAGCAAACTCTTGTTTGAATATGGTTAAAAGAATAGAGAACTTTGAACATAAAGGGGCCCTATAACAAGAGGGATAAGAGATTTAAGTAATATTGTATGTTTTACAATATATGAAATGTAAAAATATTGGGATGATGTAACTTTTATAAATATAAGTGAAATATAAGCTGATCAAAAAGGATGTTATACTCAGATGCTATAAGATAAGAAGTACAGTATTTTTATCACATGAAATATGAAAATATTGGGATGGTGTATCTAAATGGAAAATGGATATCTAAATGACTAACATTGACAAAATCATGACTGATAAGAATGGATTGAATATAAATGGGAAATTAAGCTTAAACAAAAATCACAAAAATTAGGATGCATGGTGAATTAATGAGATGATGGTTAAAAGAATAATATAAGCTGATAAAAAATGTTATACATGGATGTTACCAGTATCTGTACAAATATGAAAAAATGTCTATATTTAATCATTTATATATTGAAAATATTAAGAATAATATTTGTTTAAGGTTGAAGGAGAATATAAATGGCAGAAGGGAAGATCAAAGAAATATATTATTAATTAATATTGCATTTTATTGATGAGTTAATGCTCATGGTGGTTCAGAAGTGCAGGGAGTTGTGTTGATCCATTTCTCTTTGTGGCTTAAACTTGCATGATACATCTTGCAAAAATATTCAGCTGCAGAGTCCAAAGAAGCACCATTTTTATTTCCCATTACATTGCACTTTGTGGTTTCAAAAATCACTTTTTATTTTGACATATTTACCCTATAATTAATTGAACCTGGTTTATGGAAATAACCTGATTGTAGGTGTTTACACAATACTATGAACCAAAGCATGTTAGACTTTTGGGGCAATTTTGGTTTTCTACAGTCACACAGACTATGTCACTTAAAAGCTGAAACAGCTGCCATTTTGTATTCCTTTAATCTGGTTGCTGTATTTTAGGGTTATCATAAACCACATTATTCACATAAACATGATTTGTATTATCTATAATACAAATTTATAATCTGAAGGACACAGTAAGTCTGAACATTAAATGAATTTGCAGTAGCGAAAAAAAGTAAAAATGACACATATGCTAACTGCAAGTGCTTTAGTCTTCCAGTACAGAGTATAATGGCCAAATGATTAAGTCAACCACCTGACATAAAATAGTGAGTTGCATAAAAGCAAATTGTGATAAGTGTGCTAAATTTGGGCTAGGAAGATCTGAGTTCACATCCATGAAAAAGCATCATGTTCATCTATCAGCTTCAGGCCATTCACTTACCATGATTATAACGAATGTAAAATAATTTCTTGGGAGCCAAACTTTTCTGCCACTTAAGAAAAAGGGTCCTTTTAGACCAGTGTTTCTCAAGATGTATGGACTTCAGCTCCCAGAATTCCCCAGACATGCATAGCTGGTTAATTCTGGGAGCTGAAACCCACACATCTTAAAGTTGCTGAGGTTGAGAAACACTGCTCTAGACTTTTGTCTAGGTCTTTTGTACCTGTCAGTTATTACTTTAGGATAGTGGTGGGATTCAAATATATGAACAAACGGTTCTCTGTGTGGATGCTGTTTCCAGAAGTCCATTTTAGGTCTGGGCAACAAAAAATTAGCTACAATTCTGCTGAAGTGGTGCGAACACCACTGCTTTAGGAGCTATCAAAAGTGGAACTGTTTTATAGTTGTATTTTGTATTTTGTTGTTAACCAGTTTGATTGTGCAACTGCAGGAAATAAGCCCCATACCTAGATCAGAGCTTGCTTTTTACAATCCTGATGAGATTCAACTTCAACTGATACTACTACCAGATTGTAGGCCAACTGTATTGATTTCCCGGGTACTTTCAATGTAAAGAACAAACACCAGCGGATCGATCAGAAGACAATGAAAGCCTCTTCCCAAGTAAATGAGTTTGCAGCAAAACTCGAAGCAGAGCTCCTCCTTTAACAGCACAGGAACCTACGGCAGGCAGAAAGACTCCAAAGGGCGGGAGAGGGCAGTGTAGTCCCCATTCCTCCGCACACTGGCAAGAGAAGAAGGCTGTAACAGAAACAGAAGATTGTGGCAGTATAATAATAATAGTAATAATAATAATAATAAAGTTGGAAGGGACCTTGGAGGTCATCTATTCCAACCCCCTGCTCAGTATATAAATGGGAGAAGTAAATACATACGAGCGCCCAGTGTTACCAGCTTTCTCCTCTCCATCAGGAGGAACCAGTGTGCTGGAAAACTGATGGGACATCAAAGACCCAAATCTCTCTGAAATACATATTGCAATAAAGGTAACTCCCAACAGCATAGTGTTGCTGGCGCCCTCCTTGTAACCAGTGCTTCATCTCTTATTACGAACACAGGAAGAGTGGGGGGAGGGGAAAGAAGCGGGATCGCCTCCTCGACTGACCTTGTAACCGAACTGAAACTTATCTCCATGACTGGATCGCGCCGAGTTTTCGCTATTTATTCCTACATCGAGCAGAACAAGCACTAACCCCGAAATAACTCGAGCACGTGAGCCTCCAAAGCCAGAAGGGAGCCACTCCACGCTGGGAGGGGCGAGAAACACGTCTGGGGTGAGATTCCCTTCGTGCCAGTCAAAGGTTTGGGCTTCCACGCCTTGTTCTCACCCCTCTCGGATGGGGTCGGGGGCAGCTAACGTCCGCGCGCCGCCGATCCTCGGCGCTCCCATCCTTTTCTTTGCAATCGGCGTGTGAACCCCAGCATTTCCGGCAATGCCGCATTCCTACTCTTTGCAAGTCCCAGAATCCGTCCCGGCTTCCCCAAGTTTGACGCATACTTGGGGGCGCACCGGTCCGACAGTCTGTCAGCTATTGGCTCTGAGCTGCTTCGAGCTCCCCCCCCCAACCTGGAGGAGCCCCCCAGATGGGACTATAATTCCTTTAACCCCGTGCCCGGCCAATGGTGATTCTCTTTGGAAAAAAAGGAAAGGCGATAGGTCGGAGAAGGTTGGGTCTTTTCCGTTCTGTTGCTCAATCGGCTCATAGCATCTCTTCCTTCCTCCCCCACCGGTTCAGTACTGATAATTTTAGAGGCTCTCCTTTGAACTAGCACGGCTCTTTCTCTTTAAGAGCAGCGCCTCGGGGTGACGTCTCAACGAACGCAGCTCTTTTGGAATGTATGCAAATGAGCCCTTATGTCTTCGACCAACGAGAACCCTACCCTGGTCCCCTACAGCCAACGGCGTCCGAGCGCTGCTAGGGGGCGGCCAATAGATGCAAAGCGCCGGCTCTCACCATATAAGGAGCGTCCTCGCCATAAAAGGCAACATTGTATCGCTTTATATGGGGGAAAGATAGCGGGGGGGGAGGGGGTGCCCCGGGCCGGCGCGGATCCTGACTCTGGTGTGAGGCAGCGGCTAGGAAGGCGGGCGGAGGCTGGGTACAGGCAAGGGGGCCGGGTCGGAGCAGCCGGCGCTCGGGTCCATGGCAGGGCCGGTCTGACTCGACGCCTTAGCCCCACTTGGAAGGAAGAGGTGGCGGCACCGGCACTATGTTACCCAGCGGGGCCGGGAACGGCGCTGCCGCCTTGGCCCGGAGCACGATCATGGGCATGGGGCGGACCTCCGGGCGGGTAGGTGCCGGGCTTCCCCGTGGGGCGAACGGCAGCGGTGCTGCTGCAGGAGTCCGCGGGCCCGGCAACGGGACAGGCCCGCCTAGCGGGCAGGGGACAATCGGGGGTCGCTTCGAGCGAGACCGGGATGTAAGCGCGGCGGCGGCGGCGGCGGCCAGCGGCAGCGAAGGCGATTCGGACTCGGCCGAAGATGAGGAGTTGGTAGGCGAGCGCCGCGGCATTAAGCGGACCTTGGGTGACATGGAACTGGGGGTGGGGGGAACGGAGGCGGTGGCCGCGGCGGCAGCGTCCGGGGGTTACGGCGGAGTCAGCGGGGCCGTGAGCGGCGCCAAGCCAGGCAAGAAGACCCGCGGCCGGGTCAAGATCAAGATGGAATTTATCGACAACAAGCTGCGACGCTACACCACGTTCAGCAAGAGGAAGACGGGCATTATGAAGAAGGTACCGCGGTTGGGGCGTGGGGGACGGGCTGCCTTCCAGGATGGCCGTGCAAGGGTGGCCGGAGACGGCGATCGGAATCAATGCTGGGGCTCTGAAAGGAGGGGCAGTGGTATTTTGAGTGCAAAAAGAAAGGGGCCGGAGCCCAAAGCTGCTGCTCGGCAGCCAGTCCCAAACGCGGCGTCTGGGACGTGAGAGCGCTCTTTAACCCGCTTGGACGAACTGTTCTGAACTCCACGTGTTCTCCTGACATTTGCAGCAGCAGCAAGCTTCGACTTGCTTGTCCGGTGCAGCCCTCTCGCTGCCTCTCCCGAAGGATCCGGCTAGTATTGATACCGGAAGGGAAGACAGACACAGGCCTACCTATCAGCCACGCTCGCGCCGGAAAGGCACGCCCCATTCCGGCCCGGATTCAGCTCTAGGCAGACCCTTGTGGAGAGAGACCTTTAATTTAAGTACCGCAAAAAAGGCGATTAGGATAAAATGCTGCGCTACTTTAGCCCTGGGTGAACGAGTGGTCTCGGTTCCGAGTTAAGCCCATTTCGTTGGCCTATCCTGCACAGCACCGAGCTCTCTTCTCCCCTCTCTCTGTGCTCAATCCGGGAAACTTGGGCGCGCTCCCTGAACTCAATTGTAGAGACCCGAGTTCCACTGAGGTTAAGGATTGTGCTTCTTTCTGAGTTTAAAGGGGAAGAATGACCAGGAAGTTGGAAATGCAGCAGATCCATCAGTCTTGTAGGAAGGGAGTGAATGCTAAGCATGTGTCCAAATCAGTACCGTCACTGGTTCTTTTAACCTACCATCAAATAGAATTTCACTGGATTAATTTTGAAGATAACTTTGATAAGGCCTGTTATCTTTGTTTTGTTCAAGAAACTCTACTCCCAGATTAGAGTGCATAGGATTGCAACTTTAGGTGATTACGAAGTTGAAGTAGCAGTGGGTTTCACTTGTTGTAGCTTATGCTTATGTCAGGATGTGTATATTGGAAGAACTCTTTAAGACTTCAAGTCATGTTAAAACTAACAACAATGCAAGCTTTCCCTGACAAGGGTTCCACTACGATTTAAATGGGGCTAGTTAATAAGCTCTGCTCTGCTAACCTTAGGATTGAACTCCAGAATAATTGCAAAACAAACTGTAGAAAAAGATCAAATTTACGTAAAAAAACCCAAATGTGCTAAACTTTGCTATGTTCAGCTTGATGGAAAATGGTTTTTGTCAAAAATATAGCTATTGTTGGAACTAGATAACACTAATATTTAGTTGACTGTTTACTCTTTGATTAGCCAAATGGTCACCCATAAAACTTTCAGACAACTTTTAAGAACCCTAATGGTTGTACTAACATTTCTGCAATTAATTTTATAAATTTCTTTGATAGATTAACATGGACATTGAAGAATGTTGACAGCTTTGGCAATAGTCTACCTGGCCCAGAACTTTGCTAGATAAAAACAGTGCTTAGCCTGCTCCTTGCAAGGAATAGCATAAAAACAATGTGTGCATATGCATCTCTGTATGCATCCCATAGTAGAATTTGGATCACTTTAATGCTGCAGCTGTACTTCTGAGTGCAATTTTAATGAATTCTGAAAATCTAGTGTCCAGTTCTTAGTCTGAATTTCTGGGCATTCCTTATTTATACATTTTGGTTGTTACTGTTTAGTACCTTGGAGACAAAATAAGAACGTATGATCATTGTTTAATAGAGGTTTTTTTAAACCACAGTTGGTTGAATTCACTTAATGCCAAGCTGCACAATAATACCAAGACTAAAACTGTTGTTTACAAACCACACTGGTTGAATTCACATTATAGTCTAAATTAAAACCAAATACAATCATGTTATAGTTTGGTGGTTTGGTGAAAGACACATTTTTTGTTGTCATGAAGCCACTTCCTATTCATACCATGGCTTCTGCCTTTTTTTAGAATCTGGAAAGAGACCTTAACACTTTGACTGCTCCATTGGATGGAGGTGGGGCTCCAGTATCCAACACTGAGGTACTCATAGTCTCTCTGAACTAGGCTAACCCTGATTTTCCCAATATCATTCCCTCTCATGACATTTGAAAATTGTTTGCTTGGGGAACTCTGGGTCAGCTTATGTTAGAAGCCTGTGAAAAAAATCCATTCCATTTATTTATTTTTATCAAATGTATACATATTTCATTGTTTTATCTCTATACCACCCAGAGATGGGTGATGTATAAATTTGAAAAATAAATAAAAAATTAGTAAGATAAAAAACATTTTATAATGATGTATCTATCATTTTAGGTAGCCTGAGGATTTAAAAAAATCAGCATGCAAATGTTTTAAATATTTCATATTGACTTGTTCATTAAAACAACATTGTATGAGCCCAGCAACTGTTCTATAGTTTGAAAACCATCATTTGTGGGTTACTACAGTACATGCAGCTAGCCATTTGGGGTTGTTCAGCAAATGATGACCAAATCTTTTTTTTTTTTTATTGAATTTTTTTCAAAAATTTTACAAATAAACATCCACCCCCCCCTCCCAAACCACCCCCCCTCCCCCCCCCCGACTTCCCAGAACTGAATATAGGATTATTTAACAAATTTTAAAAAATAACGTATACAATTTATAAGATAATTAATAATAATAATAATAATAATAATAATATATATAATAATAATATACGTAAAAAAAGGAAGAAGAAAAAAAGGGAAAAAGAAAAGAGAGAGAGAAAGAAAAAAGAAAGAGATAGGCGAAAAATAAAACATATATAGAAAAGTATATAAATAATAATACAGAAGAAGAAAGAAAGAAAGAGAAAAAAAAACAATCATTACAAGTTATAAAAAGGCTAAATAATATTTTTCCATATCTAAATTATGTTGTATAAAATTTATCCATTTTTCCCATACCGCAAAAAATTTCTCTTGAGATTGCTCCTTTAAAAAAGCCGAAATCTTTGCCATTTCTGCCAAATACGAAACTTTATAAAACCACTCTTGTAAAGTAGGCAAGGATTCCTTCTTCCAATATTGTCCTATTAACAGCCTAGCGGCTGTAATCAAATTTAGCATCAATATAACCTCCCTAGCATCACAATCAGTAACAATACCTAATAAAAATAATTGCGGAGTAAATTTTACCCTCCTTCTAAAAATTCTCTGAATATTCCACCATATCTTAATCCAAAAAGCTTTTATATGCTTACACGTCCACCAGATATGATAATAAGTAGCATCCAAGTATCCACATCTCCAGCATTTCGGCTGTAAATTAGAGTACATAATGGACATTTTCTTTGGATCAAGGTGCCATCTATAAAACATCTTATAAAAATTCTCTCTTAAATTTTGCGCTTGTGTGAATTTAACATTTCTTGTCCAAATAAGTTCCCAAATATCCATTGAAATCGATTCACCAATATTCTGTGCCCATTTAATCATACAATCTTTAACTAATTCAGATTCTGAATCCAATTCCACTAAAACCCCATAAACTCTCTTAATATGGGTTGGCCTTTGATCTCTTACTTGTTTTAGGAGAGTTTCATCTTCTCTAAGCCAGCCCATTTTACAATCCATCTTCCATCTGTCCACTATTTGTCTATATTGGAACCATGAATAAGTTAGATTTTCATGTATTAGTTCTTCCAAAGATTTTAACTGCCAGTCTTGGCCATCCCATCTAAGTAACTGTGCATAAGAAACCATATCCATATTAACCCCTTTCCTTATACCTTCTATGGCATGCCGAGGTATAGCCCATAATGGTATTTTAAAATCAAATTTATAATACTTCCTCCACACTCTAAGCAAAGAGATTCTTATAATATGAGACTTAAAAACCCAATCCACTTTTTTATTAAATATTAAATAGGCATGCCATCCAAAAAGTAAATCCCAACCTTCCAAATGAAGTATTTCTATATTTGTTAAATTCACCCAATCGCTGATCAATGTTAGTACTACAGCATCATAATACAATTTCATATTTGGTACCTTGAGTCCACCTCTCTCACGAAAATCTTGCATTATTTTAAGTTTCACCCTTGGTTTTTTCCCTGCCCAAACAAATTTATTAATACCTTTTTGCCATTCATCTAAATTACGATCACTCTTTAAAATAGGTAACATTTGAAACAGAAAAATAAACTTTGGCAGGACATTCATTTTAATAACTGCAATTCTACCCATAAGGGATAACTGTAAATTGTTCCAATTTTTTAAATCCTTCTGTATCTCCGTCCACAACTTTTCATAATTATTTTTATACAGTTTTGCATTGGAAGCAGATAATGTAACCCCCAAATATTTTACCTTATCAACAATTTCAAAATCTGTTAACTTAACTAAAACCTGTTTATCACCATTAGTCATATTTTTAGCTAATATTTTGGTCTTATTATTATTAATTTTAAAACCAGAAACACGTCCATATTGTTGGATCAATTGTAATAATTTTACCACCGAACAAATAGGTTGAGACAAAGTAACAACCAAGTCATCTGCAAAGGCTCTTAATTTATATTCTTTTTTATTAATTTCTATTCCTTTTATTTCTTGAGACTCCCGAATTTTAATCAACAATATTTCCAATGTTAAAACAAACAATAACAGGCAAATGATGACCAAATCTTGTAATGGTGAAGTTTTCATGTAGTGTGCTGTGGCACATTGGTGTGCTGCAAAAGATACGCAGGTGTGCTGCATCAGCCAGAAGCCTGCTTCCTGTGACTTCACCAGTGGCAGATTGCCACCATGTTTCTTCACAGGTCCCAGCAATTAGTGACATAGAAGTTCCATCTATCAGTTGTGTACTGTGAGATGAAAAAAAATTGAAAACCTCAAGCAAGTACAGTAATGTAATATACCAACTCAGCTATAATATGTTGTTTCTTATATTGGGTCAAAAATCATTTGCAGATATTTTATCTTGAGTTAATATTGGTCTGCTCAATAGACACCACCCATATTGTGGTGTTGCCAGTCTAAAAAAATGGAGAAGATGCACATATGCAGCAACACCTGTTGGGTCATGATCTTGCATATACCCATTGCCTTTAGACTGATTCAAGAAAGGGTACGAATTCATAAAGTCTTGATGCTTTCTTGCCAGGATGAAGAAAAGACAAATATATCTTTTCTAGGACTACCCTGAATGACCGACAGTTGGGAGATCTCACATTGTTGATTAATTTAGCCTTCCAATGTACTTGGGCAGTGTTATTTTAAAAACCAAAACAGTTTCCAAAGCAACTAAAAATGATTAGACATAGCTAAGACCCTGTCTGCAAACTTATGATTTAAAATTAAAAAAGGAAAAAGGGAAAAGAAAATGTAGGTATTATTTCTCAAAGGTTTTGTTCATAGTGAAGACTCAAAACTATTCATAGTCAGGATTTTTTAAAATAACATTCTTAGTATTTAGCAAACAGCATGTTGTCTGGGTTCATGTATTTAAAAAAACAATGAATAATAATTATCATAAACAATAAATTAATTGCTTAGTAGTCTTCTTCTTACTAGTATATATTCAATGTTACATATCACATTCCTTTCTCTCTAACTCATTTTTCTAGCCATTGATAGAAATTATCCTGTTCTAAAATACACTGAATCTTCTTTCTCTTTTATCTTTAAAGTCAATTTATCCATTTCTGCACAATCCTAACCCCAACCCCACCCTATTCTTAATTAATTAATTTTATATATTTATATTATCAAGGTGGCAAGAGCCAGAGGATGGAATAAACTGGAGGAGTGTAAAATTCTCCTCTATAAAAAAGTGTAGAGGGAGCCATACTCTAAAACAGCTGGGCTTTAGTTTGGTGCAGGTGGTTGTACTTAAGGCTTTGGGGTAAGGTGAAGGCAGTGGTGGGATTCAGATATGTGAACAACCAGTTCTCTGGGTGAATGCCGCTTCCAGAAGTCCGTTCTGGGCCTGGGAAACAAAAAATTAGCTACTGGTTCTGCCAAACTGGTGCGAACTGGCTGAATCCCACCACTGGGTGAAGGACTGCAGGACAGGGATTTTCTGTTTTGTTCCTGAATTATAGTAGAATCTTGTAGTGGGGTGATCTTTGTTTTGAAAATATTCCTAATTTAAGTTTTGCGTTTTCTGCCTTGAAATGTTGAAAAATCAAGACTGTTAGTTTTCAAGAAACTGGGAAAAAAAAGAGGTTGCAATGTCTCTTTGGCTTTAAACATACTCCATTCACACAATCCTGCTGCTGTTGTTAAATTTAAGTGGCTTAAATGTAAAACACAGGCTCCTTAACAACTGAGGTTCCTGGATTCCATGAAAAGCTTGAACTCTGATCCATAGACTCCTAATCAAACTTGCCATAGAAAGCATATGGGAAGCATGAATATAACTTTAATGGGATTTCCAGGAAAAAGCAGTGCTGCTAATAAATGCTTGAGCATCTACATTTGGCTTTGTTTTTCATGTAAAGTCATGTACAGCCAACAAATGGAATGATGGCTCAGCTGATGGCACTCCTGGGTGACCTTGTCTTAGCTCTGAGGCTAAACAAGGCCAGGCAAATTAGTTCTCAGTTCAGAGACTACCTGGGAATATCAAGGCTGTCACTTAGACTGGGAAGCTGGGGCCATCTTGGAAGGAGGCCATAGAAAGCCGCTTCTGTATTCTGGCCAAAAAAAGTACATGATGTCACCAGGAATTGAACCTGACTCAAAAAAAAAAATCTTTTTATATAGTCATAAATTACATGGCAAATTATAAAAATCACATTGGATTTCAGCAGAAAAGGAAGGACATATTTGTATACAGCTGCATAACAGTACTGAGTGGTCTGTCTGACAAGTTCATCTTGGCAATTAAACATTTCTGTAGTGAGCTTGTAGGTATTCATCCTTGAAAAAGTAACGCCATGGAGAACATGCAGATTTTTCAGTACCATTCAAGAGTCCATTTTTGCAGAATTCCACGAGGGATGATTTGTTAAAAAACTGGTTTTATGTTTGTGTTATAAATGTGCCCTAGGTTTTTATTTATTAGAT